TGACCCCGTCCCCTTCACCTTGTGGCTGTCGCGCCACTTTTGGTACTGCGCCAAATCCGGGTGGTCCTTTAGGTCCGCCTCCGGCCCCTCCGCCGCCACGGCCGCTGCCAGCGCCAGGACGCACAGCAGCAGGGCGCCCGCCGGAGCCAGCCGTCGAAAGTTAGCAGATCGGTCAATGGTCAGCGTTGACCGCATTGTGTCGCGAAGAAGCCGCCCGAGGTGCTAAAAATTTGGCCGACTGTGAGAGACCTTTGCGCAAAGCGTTTGGGTCTTGTGTGCCACGCTGTCGATGGTATGTAATCAGCGGCAGCGGTCATGAGTCATTACCCTCACCATTCAATTTCGCATGGCAAGGCAAGGAGGCAGCGGTCATGAGTCAGTCAAGGCTGCTGGCATCTGATACCAGATAATATCTGAATGGGTAGTCAGAATGATTTTTTTGACCCGCGAATTCTGAACGAGCAACCTGAGGGGTATTAGGGGGGGGGCGGGGGGGGGAGGGGGGGGACAGTCAAGAATTCATTTTCCCCAGTATGTACGGTATATGATAAATGGTATGTACAGTTTGTGGTATATGCTTTTTGTTTCGAATTCCGCACTCCAGTGCAAGTGCAAACGACAACACCTGAAACGCCGATATGGTGAGCGATGAGCAAGGACCAACGAGCGTAGAAATTCCACGCTGTATTCAATGCACTACGTGGGGAGACAACATGGAAAAATTAGCAAATAAATGAAATATTCATACACGTTTTTTGCAAAAAGTATGGACGATGAGCATCTTATCTTATAAGCTGGGAACCCGACTTGGAGTGCACTGGAAATGGAGTGTTCATAAATATGCACCTTGCTACTGCCAGAGCAACTCGTGAATGACGTTGGGTTGAGCTCCCCTCTAGCCGCTGGAGTGCGGAGTGGATTATCCAACTCTGAAACACCCAGAGGTTGGAAGGAAGTGTCTCCATACTGGGTACCACCGAACCAAGCGCAGAAATTGTGATAAGTCTAGGGTGGGCCAGACGGGAGAAACTTTGCTTTCACAGCAGCAGTTGGGCGGCTTACACGACGTGCTGCACTTGCTCCACGCTGCGCAGCGACCTGCAGTAAGCTTGCAGTGTTGCGTTCTGTGGCAACTCATAGCAGCTGTGCCGTGCCGCGTCCAAATGATACTGGCGTTTACCTGAATCATCGCGCCGGGGTGCTAATGCCATTCAAGAAGTGATTTTTTTTAGTCTGACTCAGCGTTCTTGTGTAAGAATCGGCCCCTATGACGTGGGGGTTACGTGAGTGGCGGGGCTCTGCAAGTCAGGTGCTGTGGGCATGCATCTCCGGATGGGCCGGTGGTTGCGCTCGAGGGTCACCGACATGAGGCGCACAGCTATTGGTGCTGCCACTGCGGCGCACCGTGCCCCCTTGTGCGTGAGGAGCATATTTTCTGGCGCGCTGTCGCAGTGGCAATGGAGACCATCGCCCGCACCGATTGTCAAAACGACAATGGCCTGCGTCCAAACGCGCAATTAGGCGTTGTCGTTCCCGCGAGGGCTTCAGTTGGGCCACAGAGCAACTCCTGAGCATCACAGCACTCTGCTGTGGCAACCATTGAGACGGCAACTGTTTCACCAGATGCAATCAGCGCGCCTCTCAAAACCATGCATTCGAGGCCCCTGGGCCCTGGAGTGAACTTTTGGAAAGCAGAAGCCAGGGGTGCGGCTCCCACCTGGGTCAGCGGGCATGCTTTAGCGCGAGCACGGTGTGAGACACGGACCTCCGCCATTGCAATCATGATCGCGCTGTGTGTTGTAGCGATGTGGCGTGAGCATTGAATGCGCTGTTAGGTTGATTGAGGTCAATGCAGCAGCGCGATGGCTTGCAAATCAAACGTCCAGGTGAGATGGCTTCCCCTCAAGGGCTGCCCCGGGTTGCACAGCAGGCTCCAACTCTCATGACGGTGCCATGCGGCCTGGGCGCAGCAACAGTGGCAAAGGACACTGCAATCAAAGAACGTGAGCAACAACATCAACGAGGCAACCTAGCCACCGAGTGGGCGGGCTTTGAACGGATTAAGCAGGAACAAGAAACTGTAAAACGTCAGCCTAAACGTCGGGCTGAAACGTTGGGCTACTGTGATGGCACAAGGGGCAAACATATCGGGCACGAGCGGTGCACAACATAAAATGAACTTGGGATCAGAAAGGGTTGAGCAAACTGTGATGGAGTGAAATCAACAGTGCAACCTAGCCAGCGAATGAGCGAACTTTGAATGGGTGAAGTGGCGACGAAAAAAGTGCAGAACGTCGGGCCGAAGGTCCGACTTCTGGATTGGTATGCATATTATTGTGGGTTCAATGTTTCGGCGATAAAAGAGGCGTTCCCTAGCATCCCTTCTTCACCACAGCAGCAGCAAAGCCAGTGGCATCCAGCAGGTCCTGGAGCACGTGTACTCATCAAAGAATGACATTATACGAAGAATGTAAGAATTGGCATATGATCAATACGATTGTACACACATTGATACATATAATTAACTATCCTGTTAATGAGTTTCTGCCTAGGACGACGATGGGTGGGCGCGGATCGGCCAGTCTGGGCCGTTCCGTGTCTTTGGCCAGTTTGGGGGCCATCACTAGGCCGGTTTCTGTCACCCTTGTACTCGGGGTCAGTTCTGCCCGGCGGATCCAAGGGCAGTTGGGTTGAGCCTTGTACCTTGGATGCAGCCAAGGGGACCGGTCAAGCTGGCCCTTGGGTTTGGCGGGGAGTTTGGCGGCAAGTGGGAGCGGCTATTTTAGGCGCGACCCTTGGCGCCCCCCTTTATCTTGTTTCGCACCCGCCCGGCCCACCCGAATAGAGTGAGTTCGGTTAGCTGTGGGATGGAGAGGGAGTTGAGTACGAGGAAAGGGGAACTGAGTCTGGGTTGAGTCACCATCAGAGTGGCATTAAGTACTATGCGAAGCGAGGGCACGTTCAAGTGGGTCGCCTATCGAGTCTTGTTTTAGTAAGGTGAAGGACACCAAACTGTGTGCATGTAATGTATTGTCGTGTGGGGAACAGGGGGGGGGGTTGAAGGAGACCGGTAAGGCAGAAATCATCAGTACTATCTGATGTCCTCATCAAGGAACAGGGCAAAGGTCGCAGGCAACGCAGAAGGGACCAGATGCCCGCTCCGCAGCACAGAGCACAAGGGTCGGCGACTGCGGCAGGCGCAGCAGCAGTCAGGTCGACAGCAGGCCAAAACGAGCTACACTGCAGTTCTATCTTTCGACAACACCAACGCACAACGCACACACTGCCGCAAGCGCGCACTCCCGCGGCCCCCAGTCAGTCGCGGCTCCTGCATTTCGGCGTGAGCAACGTGAGCAGGCGCTCTACCCGCCCCGATGAAGTGCGCGACACGGCCGCCGGCGATCGATGGTAAACGATCAGCCGGCGACCGGTCAGCTTTATGCACGGGCAGCGAGCCCAAGGCCCGCCTCCCAACCGCACTCCTCCCGCTGATACCGATTCCGCAGCCATCCAGGACGCTAACCAAATTCGGTCATCCCTATTCCAATTCAACAACCTAATCAACTTTAGCCGTCATTTATCAAGTTTAGTCATCCATGGATTCGACTACGCAACCGCCTGAAGAGCCGATTAGGGAGGGGGCGGCGCTGGGCCCGCGGATCCCGTGTTCCCCATGGCGCCCCACACCACAGGCACCTCCAAAACAATAGACCCCCCGTCTCTGTCCCACACCGATCACAAGTACTCAACACGTCAACGATGACACAACGGCGCCCCTGTCTCCAAAAAGAGCGACCCCCAAAGTATCTTCCTAGTACTGGCCTGTGTGTAGCGAACATATTTATGGGCAGCCTCGACATCCTACTGCAACCTCCAATTCCTTGCCAAGCCTGTGATTTGATTAGTGTCAAAAATCCAGCAACCGCAATGCCCAAACTGCACTTGTGCACTCGTTGCTGGCGCTTCTGGCTCTATGCACAGATTGCATTCCAGCCATGCTCGGCAGCCATCTGCTTGAAGAAATGGGTATTCGTGCAGCATGCTGGGGATGTGGCTGAGGCCTTTCCCACGCTGTCAACGCCACTGAGCCAGGGTTCACTTCCCTGACCTGATCAGGCTAGCTCATGAATTCACGTCGAAATAAATGCCTGGCAGCCAAGCGCCTCGGGCCGCAGCACGGGCCCTCAGCGGTGTGCCTCAGGCCCAAAGAGCCAGAGAGGGGCAGCCACACATGCTGGCATGGACACCAGCTGTCACCGTTCGCTGTGCAGTCCATTCCCAATCCCCTGACAAATTAACCGCCAAAGAAGTGAAACAACAGTCATTGAATGGTGCACCTGGGCCCTGTGGCCCAGCACCAGTATCATTTTATAGCCATCCCAGTCATGTACAAGCCCCACCCACCCCTCGGCAGCCGACTGTACTGCTGGACCGTACCACTGGATCGTACTGCTGATGCGCTTCCCAGCACATTCAGGGGCATCTGAGGTACACGGCATCCGCTCGCGGCAGAGGTCCAGCCAGTCGGCCATCGATTCTGTTGTGATAATTTTACACCAGCAGCGCCTTTGCCTGCAAGGGTGTCCCACGCTCGCTTGATGCCCTTCCCGAAGATCAGCCGCACCCACACACACGAATTCGATTCTGCCAACCCACATGCATCGTCGGTCTTCACCCATGGACCCCCATCATTGGACAAGACTGATACAAATGATCCAACCACTCCCACTCTGCCACAAATTGCGTCCCATAGCAGCATCGCCTCATCGATTGATGCAGGCAAGTTCGATCCAGCCGCTCCCCCTACACCTCAACTTGTATCCCACTGCTGCATCACCTCATTGATTGATGCATGCAAGTTCGATCCAGCCGCTCTCCCTCCACCTCAACTTGTATCCCACTGCTGCATCACCTCATTGATTGATGCATGGAAGTTCAATCCAGCTGCTCCCCCTCTGCCTCGAACTGTGTCCCGCTGATGCAACCACCCACCCCGGCCCTCAGATCGTGTCCCATTGCTGCAACACCTCGTTGAAGGGCCCCAGCTCTGATAGCATGCTCGTCTGCGTGGTCGTCAGCTCCCCAGCGGCATCCGACGTCTCCCACATCGCCGACATCCCTGTTGCGCCCCCACTCGCCAGCCCGGAGGTCATCCCGCTCGCCATCGCTGAGTTTGCGCCGCTTGCAAGCATGGACTGCGTGCCACTGGCCACGCCCATGTTCCCCACGTTGGGGATCCTGGAGCCCCCGGCGTCAGGCCCCGGGGCCTTCGCCGCGGGGCCCTCCACAACTGCCACTGGCACGATCTCGCCAAAGTCGCTCTGTGTGATCAGCGGCTCGAAGCCGGGCTCAAGTTCATCCCGCCTCGCTGAGCCGAGCCCAGGATCCGTCGTGAACAGCCGGTAGTTGAAGCGATCCATTCCGACTGCAGATGCCTTGGCGGTGCCTGGCGTGGCTGTTCCAGAAGCTGCCGGCGTCCAGGGAAGCGATCCGGGGGATGCGTTCCCGGCCTCGGTTGTTGCGGAGATGGCCGACCGAAAGGAGCAGGAGCCTGAAGTGTCAAACAGGCTGGTGCACCAGCTTGGCCTCCGGGGGTGCCTGTCCGCCTGCAGGCCCACATTGTTGGCACACTCTTCAGAAAAAAATTGGTGCCAGAAAAGTGCTGTTAAGTACTGGGCCTTGCACTCTTTTTCCTCAAACAGAGTTACGGTGGGGGATATTCAGTTTCAACGGCAGGGTGACATGCCCTGTGCAATGGGCATCCCCGAACCTGAACAGCAAAATTCAAGGCGATCTTTCATGCTGGTGCAGAAGCTGTGCGGGTCTTCAAACTGAACTGGGATCTTGCGAATTGTGTGGCTTGACAGCTGACTCTGTCACGTCCTTGTGAGATAGGCCATATTTGGATTTGCAAAGTGTGCTAAAAGTCACAATTCAGGGTGGGTTTTGCTTTGCAGACTCGCTCGGAGATCTGATTGCAATGCATGGTATGGACAACTGCACTGCACTGGTACTCCATGTGTGCTGATCAGCAACAACAACACACTAAACTTCACCACTGCACAATTAGTCATTGTCATTCATCTTCTGCCAATCATCCAGCTCAATACTCATTTCATCACTCATTCTGTGTACCGATTTCCTGCACATGCCGCAAATCAGCCTGCTCTCTTCACCACCCACGACTGCATCCGTTTCCATCAGGTCCCTTCCCTCACCTTCACAGCCTCTGCTCCATTGGTGTATTGCATCTCCCAGCCCTGCGGCCCGTACCCAGGCGACTTGATCACTGCCTCACTCGCCCCACCCGTGATCTTGGAGATCGCCAGCAGCGGGATGTGCGTGGCAGGGCCAGCACACGCCCCCCCGGACCTCCTCGCCCCGTTGGGCAGCGGCGGCGGTGTGGCCGGCGGCACAGGGGAGGATGGCATGGGCGGGTGCTGCGGCGACAGTGGACTGAGGGGAGCCTGGGCCTTAGGATCCAATGCTGTGAAAGATCCAAGACCTGATCCTTGGCTGGTGGTCAGCCACAGGCTGAGCTCTGGATTGGCCACTGCTGCCACCTTTGCCGCATCCACCGCGGGCTTTGCTTCAGCGGTGGCCCGCGGCTTGATCAGGCCCATGTTGTCGAGGTTGCCGCGGGGACGGAAGTTGCCCAGGCGCACGTTGTGCTGGTAGTTGGGCGTCACGCTGCGCCATGGCATGGCCGCCCCGGGCCCATAGCTGGATGCCACAGGCACCGTCACGCTCGATGCGCTGCTCGAAGGGCACAGGTCGATCAGCCCACCGGTGGCGTCCTCAGTGGGGTCATCCCGGCGAAAAGATGAGCTCGTGAGCTCTGATGCAGAGTCTGATCTGGAAGTCAGCAGCGGCTCAGGGCAGTCTGCGCTGATGCGCTGCGGCAGCTTGAGCGGCAGGCGCTTCATGGGTATCACGTGTGCGCCTGCCTCCTCCCGGGAGTCACCAGGGGAGCCAGGGTCTGGGTGCTTGCCCTGGCTAGGCGTCGAGCCCATGTGCCAGAAGGAGAAGTGCGAGGGGTCCTGGGGCGGGTTAGAGCAGGGGCTCGAGCGGGCGCCCCATAGGGGGTTGCCCAGGACCTCGGTCTTGCGGGGCAGGCCTGTCCAGAGGGGGTTGTTCTTGGGGGGCGAGCAGATGCTGCCGGAGCTAGCCGGGGGCGAGGCGACAAGGGGCCGGTCTAGTGAGCGGGAGGAAAAAGCATTGGTCAGCTGGGAAACTCTTGCAGTGAGTGCATTTGACCGGATACGGATTGAATTGAATTCTACACGACGCTTGCAGATTGAATTGAGTTGAATTTTACAGGGCAGTCGATCACAAGCTAAAAGTACAGGATGGACCGACACAGATGAAAGGACGTGCTGCTTCAGACGCATGGGCATTGGTGCATATCTGTTGGCACAACAGAAGATGGTAACAAGGGACGCCTGACAGAGTCTGACTCATGCTGCACTGTGCCTGCTGTTGGGACTTGCTTCATGAGAACATCTTCACCCCAAACTTTGTGCATCGGGAGTGTGCTGCATGGAGGGGACAAATGGACACCAGTGTGCTGTCACATCACAGTTTCAAAAACACGACATTGTGCATGATCAGTGCACTTGGAATGCAACGAGCATCTGATGAGCGCACCTGAACATCTGAATCGTGAAACATGATGCAAACATAGCGCAAAGGCAATATGAATGGTGGCCATCTGAATACCGAACACTTCCAAACCGAATTCATCACCTGAACATCTGAATCGTGAAATATGACACAAACATAGCACAAAGGCAATATGAATGGTGACCATCTGAATACCGGACATGTCCACAATTGAATTCATCACTTTTCTTCACAATCAACACACACTGTCCTCACGCCTTCAGGTCAACCATGGGTGCAATTCAATTCCTTAAACTTCTTCCATTCCCCAGCATCAGCATGCTTCCCCTCGCTCCCAAACCACGCCCTCACCTGGCGAAGCTGGGTCCTGAGACTGCACCTCGTGGGCTTTAACCACCCTTGCCTTGCCGCCATCCATTGATGACCTCCCTTCCCTAGTCTCTCCCTGCCATGTCTCCACAGACTGCTGCTCTTCCCTGATGGCCATCCCGATCAGGTTGTGCGTCAGTGGCGAGCTGTAGGTGCTCGCAAGCCGCTGCAGCTGGCCCACGATCTTCTTGAAGGTGGGGCGCCGGGTGTTGTCCTGCTGCCAGCACGCGCGGATGAGGGAAGCGAACTTCGTGGGGCAGTGGGAGGGTATGGATGGCCGCCGGCCATCCACGACAGTAACCATGATGTCGTTGCGGTGCTTGCCGGAGAAGGCCCGGGATCCGGACACCATCTCCCAGAGGAGCATGCCAAACCTGACACAGTACAGTGATAAGGCAATCACACACCAGAACAGAAAAGGGGAATGAAAACAACGTGGGGGCAAAAAGAACCTCTGAGGCAAATCCATGGGGAGAATAAGTTATGGGCAACCGATTTTGAGATGACTGGGAACAAAGCACATTGGCAGACAGCACACTCTTTCCAGGATTCCAAGAGGGCAATGTGCAGATCTGGGGATGATGAGGGTACCCGTTGGAACAAAGTAAAGTGTGTTGCTTGTGAATGACCAGCATTTGCAAAACACAGCACAGGAACACCTGTTGGGGCCAAGAGTGTGAGGCTGTTCCACAGTGCCAAAACACAACACAGGACTCACCTGGTAAACAGCCACAAGGGATAGAAGCCCACCGCAGCAACACGAAAAGTCTTGGCAATTCATGGCATGTGCATCAACTGTGTGGAGATAATAAAAGAGCATAGTCTCTCACAGTGCCTGATCGAAAAAGATCCCAAGCCCCTCAAATGCTCAGTTGGGCAAAAGCAGCAGTATGGGAGCAAGGCCAAGCAGCGGGCCAGAAGGTCAGCCAGGAATGCATCCACCCAGCAAACACCACTGAAAAACTCCCCCTGGGCATTGTGCATATTGTGGAACACAGTCCAGCATCTCTACAGAGCTCAGATCATCATTTCACAGCAGTCCATGGGCACCAGAGCACACTTACGAGTACACATCCACGGCTGGCGTCATGAGGCCGTCCCTGAGCAGCTCGGGCGGCATGTACCGCACGGTGCCGCATGTGAACGTCTCGATGTGCGTGCCGTTGTTCAGTATCACCCGGCTCAGCCCAAAGTCGCCGACCTTGCAGAAGAACCCCCGCTCGTCCGCGCTGGTGCTCTTCAGCAGCACATTATGCGCCTTGAGGTCCCCGTGCACCACCTTCTGTGAGTGCAGGTACGCCAGCGCACTGGCGATGTCCAGCGCGGTCAGCAGCATCGACACGAAGCGCGGCTCCCGCCGCGTGTCCCCATCATGAAAAAAGATCCCATCCTTTATTGCCCTGTCCAGTGAACCCCTATCGCAGTACTCCATGACAATCCACGTCCTGTACCTGTCCCCATCCTCCCCAAACTGACCGCTGGTTCTCAAGTTCCTCTCCATGTAGCTGAAATCATCCAAGTCATCCAACTCGCCGTCCACCTCTGACCCACCGGGGGTGCCCGGCCCCTCCCTAGCCGCCTCGCTCGTCCGCAGCGGAGCCCAGCTTGGCGCTGTGGATGCGCTCGACCCATGCACGCTGTGCTTACCCCTGGTCTGCTTCAAGTAGGTCTTCACCACGTTGGGGTGGTCCACCTGGATGCTCAGCAGCGCCTCGAGCGGCTCGCCGCGCCCGTCAGCCAGCGTTCGGCTATCGTGATCAATTAGCTTCACGGCCAGCACGCTATCGCCGTGGAAGGCTTTGTACACACGTCCAAATCCTCCCCTGCCCAGTGGGGAACCCAACTGCAGCTCGCTGAGTTCCATTCCCTCCAGGCTGCCCACGCTCATGGTAGGGTCGTTCACATAGGGCACCTCCATGCACAGCGGCTCCAAGTTTCTGTCCAGGCCTCCCATGCCGCCATCAGCGCCATCATACTTGCACCGCCGGCAGCTCACGCACCCAAAGCCCCCAAACGATTTTGCCCAGCGCCTCATCCACCTGCCCCTGGACCTAATCCCAGCGCCCAAGAAGAGCATAGCGCTCACCGCGGAGACGAGCACGGCAGATGGCGCAATGGGCACCCTGGCAGTTTTTATTTCCGGCTTGGCCGGGCTCTGGCAATCGGAGTGTCGGACGTACCGGGAATCGGAGTGCCGAGCGGGGGCAAGGGAGGGGGACGGGGAGTCGCCCACGTCGCAGGCCACCGCCGTGTCGCAGACAATCAGGTGCAGAGGCTTCCCGCCAAATTGGTCGACAGTTTCCGCGCCAATTTTCGGTCCCCCAAGGGAGAGCCGATCCGCTGATCCCGCCAGGGCGCCGCGGGGCAGGCGGTGGGGCGGCGCGGCCGCAGGGGCATCGTTCCAGGCCGCCACTTTTTGCTCATCGGCCTCGGGCGGTGCTTGGCATGCCCGTGCAAGAATGCTGCACCCATCCACGTGAATCCTGCCCCCGCTCCCGCCGTTCGCGCCCGAGGCCGAAAAGGCCCTCAGCTCGATCGGGTCGGGCCCCATGGCGTCCTGGACCAACACCAGGTTCCGCAGCACAATCCGGGCCCCGCCGGCCAATTGGATCGCCCCCTCCATGCCCCCGAAGTCGATCATGGCCGGCGCGCCGGCGGCAGCGGGTTTTATGGTCAAAGTTTTGTTATTGACCACCGCGTTGACCGCAGGGGGCGGCGGCCCAGAGCAGTCCACGGTACCCTCCACGAGCACGGTGACGTCCGCAGGGCCGCCTGTTGTCGTCATAGCCTCCAGGAGCTCGTCACACGATCTAGAGATCCTCAAGCCTGCTCCGCTCGGGCTCGATCGCTTTCCGCCCCCCTCGGCGGCCAGAGCGCACGCGAGGATGAGCGCTCCCAGCCAGAGGGCCATCCCCCCATCCATGGGGCCGGATTTTGCGATTCTGAAGCGGCAGGGGCGCATCCTTTTTAGCGGGCGATCGGCCCTCGCCTAAGCGCCTCCAGGGTTCGATCGCCGGCCGGCCCGCCCGCGCTGCGCTGCTGTCGCCGGGCGGCGTCCCTGTGACCAGCGTAAGGCTCCCCCTGCGTGAGTCAAGCAAGTGGTCCGGTCAGGGGAGCCAAAAGGTGAACAAGGGGCCCAACCCAGAAGGCGGCGGGCGCCGGACGCGATTCCGCCGCCGCAGGGATTCAAGCAGGGCCAACGCAACGCAGGCATCCGATTCCGCAGCTGATGGACCACAACACATCCACTGCCATTCAGGCAACTTCCCCCGCGCCGGTGCCCGACCCACGACTTGACGTGCCGCGTTCCCACAGCCGCCACGGGCCCCCGGCGCCGGCGGTGGGGCAATCCGAATTCGCGGTGGCGCGGGTAGGCCTGGAGATCAAGATTTGAGCCCTCGAAGGAGCCCAGCCGGGCTTTCAGGGGGCTCGCCTTCGCGCCCATTCGCGCGGACGCCCCTTGACGGCGACCGCCTGAAAGGACCCCGCCCGGCGGCCTCCAAAAATCCAACCCGCGCCAAAGCGTTCATAAAGTCAATGGGGCCAATGAACGGCAACCTCAGCCATCCCGCCAGCCACGCCCTCCAAACAAAATTCCCCACGACCCGCTTCCGAACCCTGAAAGCGCGCAAAGGTCACACTCCCGTCCCCGCCCCTTACCCCCCCTCACCAACAGGCCGTGCATCAAAAGAAGAAATAAAACGCGGACACCTGTGACCAAGCCGCGACCGGCCGGCCCCCAGGGCAGCCGCCGCCTCTCCCGGCCACCCGGCCGCCGCAATTCCTCCGCGCGGCGCTGCGCCCTCCGAAGGTGCCCCGGGCTCCAACATCTACAACGGGCGGACCCCGCCCCTGGTCAACGCACTCCACCTGTCGGCGCAGATACGATGATCCAGAGTCGGGTGGTACTTTTGGCAGTACTTTTGGTAGTTTGGGGTGGCGGTATGACGAGAAGAGGGGGCTGGGGCGGGCGGTTGGTGGGGGCTTCGACTTGGCGGAGGTCACAGCGTCAGCGCTGACCCGTTCACCGGTCAACAATTGGGGGTAACCACCGGCGCAGGGGCGGGGGTAGGGGCAGCCGGCCGGAGGCTTAGCATTGTCCGTCGTCTGCGTTGACAGAACGTTGACAGAGCATTGACCTGGCGCTGACTCTGTACGCGACGAAACCGAGACGGTTCCCAAGGTGTTGACCGTGCGCCGACCGGCCGCTGACAGTTGCCAGGGCCGACGGGGGTATCCGGCGGCGGTCGGGGGCGGGGGATTGGGGGGGAAGTTAAAAATGGCCCGCAGCTTTCCAAGTTCCCCATTCTTGGGTGGGGTGGGGGCTGGGGCCAAAACCTGAGGGCGACGGCCCTCGGAAGGCGATTGGGCCTTTGCCCACCGCGTTGGGCAACTGTTCAGAGCGTCGATCAGAACCGGGGCGCTACGGACTGGTCGATGGCCCTGCAGAGGGGTGAGCGTCCCGCGGCAAGAGCCCAACGGGCGGTTCTGGTGGTTTCCCTGGGAAGGCGCGTCCGCGCCTTGACCCCTGCGTTGGCGGGTCTTTTTCCGGGCGCGCCAAGCACGGGGCAGACAAGGCGATTCCAGAAGGCGCAAGGCGAAAGGCCGAGGCGGGTAGACGCAAAGGACAGGGGCGGAGGCGCGCAAACGAGGGCGGAAATTCGGCAGCGCCGGGCCCTCTCGAGAGCGGGGTGCCGCGCCGGCGCCCACGCCTCCCGCCCCTTCAAGCCCCCGGGCTTCCACCCCCACTCCGCCCCACTCTCCAGACTCCATCCACTGCGGCAAACGGCTCATGCCACACCCCGCCCCCTCCCCACCTCCCCCTCCGACCCGGCGCCCGGTCCTCCCGGCCCGCCCACCCCCGCGCAGCGAGCCAACGAGACAGCGAATCAAGATGCTGCTGTGAACGGCGACATGCATCCCCCAACCAACAAACATGCACGCCCACTTTCAGCCCGCACCTCCGCCACCTCACTCCTCCTGCGTCGACCCGCCTGCGCCCCACCGCAGCCTAATTACCCAAGTGGCTCTCCGCAGAAAGGGCTGGCAACGACCGGCACCCGCCGAGGGCACGGCCACCCGTGTCGCCCTCTTCTTGAGTGCCCTGGATCTCTCTTTACTCCCGCTCGACCCTGCCCAGCCTGCCTCCCCTTGGGTGCTCAATCGGCCAGCAAACGGGTCAATCGACGGCTAAATTTGGGGTCTCCAAAGAAGGGGTCTGCGGCAAGGGGCGCCCAGCAAGGGCCTGGCCAACTGCTGCCCCGTCCTTCGGGCCGGGCTGGCTTTCCTCGGCGCGGACGTTTTTGCGCCCGTTTAAACCCTGCCCGCGCCTGCGGGTGCCGTGGGCGCACGCCCGGCAACCCTGGATGTGTCCGTGGCCGCCCAAGCCGCCAAAGGCCCTCCCGTCCAAGGCGCTGTTTCGCCTAGTAACGTCATCCTGGGAAGACGGAGGCCGCAAAGGGGGTTGGTGAGGTAACGGGGGGTACGGCCCGAGTACAGCGGATTGTACGGGCGGACGGGCGGGGCGATCGGTCGCTGATGGGGCGGACGCCACGTACGGGGTTTTGGCGGTTCGCTGGGCCAAAAAGGTCGCTAGTTGTGCGGTACTGGCCCAAAATACGCGCTTCCGGCTCGCGCTACTTTGCGCTGGATGGCATGGCTTGCGCGTCCCAAGTCCCCATGTCTGAGGACCCTTCCGTTGTTTCTGACCCTTCTGTTCTGCGGAGGCCAGGCGGCGACGCACAACTGCGCGCACGACCTGCGGCGCCCGAATATTCCGAATAATGATGTGCGCTCGTCGCCTGTCATGCGGTCGGCCGCCCGTTGCAGCTGTCATCGTCGTGTTCCTCACACCCTTCGCGCGGCGGTCGGGCTGCGGCGTGGCCCCCCGTTACGAACAATGTGACGGCGAACGGTGACGGGAATGACGGTCGCAGAGGGCGGCGAACCAAAAAATGGGGTGCCGTCGAGCCGCTGAAGAGGTGAGGAGGGACACCCATTAGCACAACTGGGCTGTGGCATTGGACCGGTGTGTCAGTTTGAGACAAGTAGTGGGATCTGCGCCCGGAAATCTGAGATGGATCACGGTGATGTGAAGCAGTCATATGACACAGGGACTGAGTGGGTTGCCATGCCGTGAGGGGACACGCCGTTTGGGATCTGTCTGCAAATCCGTCGCCTCCAGCTCGCTCCCAGGCGGCCTCCACCGGAACCGATTACCCGGTGGCGAGCCAGCGAGCGACCTATCAACGGGTCACTGCAATCCGATTCGCTGGAGGAAATGGCCATTTCTGGTATGCCAATTGACCATAAATGACGCTTACTGGGATGCCACTGGGACGCTACCTCAACATTCGCGTCCAAAGAAGAGTTCCAGTGGCGTCCCCGTAAGTGTCATTTATGGTGAATTGGCGCCCCAGAAATGGCCATTTCCACTGGTAGTTGTTGCAATTCATATGCAATGATGTGTTGTCTGTAGTCCTGGGAATAGACAGGCCCGTCTGGTGATGGTCGTGCGATCGATCCAGCGCCAAGTAGCAGCCGTGCAGCAGACACGCGCCCAGCGCCTGGCACGTTTCGAAGGAGCAGAAACGCAGTAATTTTGATTCTGCACCCCCTTAGTTGGTTACGCAAGGGTCGATCAACATCCGCACGGATTCAAAACGCGCAGGCCATCGCCTCGAGGGCGCAAGGTCGACGTTCGTCGCAGCATTTTGGCAATGTGTCCGAAGTCAGAACACAATTTCAAAAACAGCCAGGAGACCAGAACGTGCCATTCGTCCAACGGGCCCCATCAACTGGGGCGAAATTCCCGGTGGTCTCCTCGGCCACGTCCACAGCGCTAGCAGAAACGACAAACCTCTCGAAACCAGCCAGGTGCGAGCAAAATCTGGCATCATAGATCGCAATCTGCTGCTGGTGCTGCTACTAATAGGACATCAAGCACACCGCAACTAGAACCATGCCAAATTGCCCCGAGATTTTGGGACCCCGCCCACAGAATGCCTTTCACCAGAACGACGCACACAAAAATTGCTGCCGCAGCAGTCAGCCGGAATCTGATGCTCGATTCAGAGCAGCTTCCAAGCGATGAGCGCCAGGCGATTTGCTATCAGCGCGGCTTGCCAAGCGGTCATGTCAACTCTCAAGAAGTCGCACGCTCCCTTTGTATTGGCCCCTCAGCCCCGGCCCATAAGCTCGCGGGCAATTCGACTCCTTGCAAGTCAACGCTTGCAAGCCCAATCAACTCGTCACCAATTCATAGGCTTGCGGATCTGACAGATCATCCCGAAATGACCACAGTGGCCGTCGAGCCACCGGCAATTCAAAGTCAACAAGTCAAGAAGCTGATGCGTCAGCTCATCCCCAAGCCAATGCAGTGGCCCTTGAATTCAGCAACACGTCATTGACTTGCTGTTTCGGCAACCAATCCACAAGTCAAAGCAACAGCCCATTTCCCCACCAGCAAGCACAATCAAATCAACAGATCACCCCCCTGGCAAGTAATCATCATCAAGAAATCCTACATACCAAGGTGAGGAGGGCAGCTATCACCTCCCTGTTTCGCTCGAGCAAAGCACCGTTCATGACTTGTTTCATGACAACTTAAGGTATTGCCACAATCCAAACACTGAGTTGCTGTGCATCACCAGAAAGCCAACCAAGTCAACAGCAAGTCGCCTGAGCAATGCACCATTCATGACATGTTTCATGACAACCTCATGTATTGCCACACCGGCAAGTCAAACCAAGTGAACAACGAGTCAATGCACCAGTCAGCCCCTCCTTCAGTCGCCGGAGACCATCGCAGCAGGCGCAGCCGCCCTTGCCAGAATCTCCTTTTCCGCCGTTTGGGTCTGTTGACTGACCCGCGGGCGGGCGCGGCGGCCGGGCAGGCCGCTGCCCGTGTTGGCCACTAGGAAGATGACCACCAGGCCGATGGACAGGCCAACGATCACCGCCTGCCGCAGCACAGTCGCCTAACTACTCATTTATTGAAGTAATTGGACAAAACTTCAGGAATTAGTAATGGCATTTCTTTATTTAATGGCATATCCAAATATCCTTCAATGGCATTACAACATCCTTTCCGGCATGCAGGTTGCGTGCTGTCAAATGAGGCTGTCAATACGCATATTCACATTGAAAATGTGCGTTTTTTAAAGCATTCATAAATGTAAATATGGGCATTTGACACGCCCGGAAGTCAGCTCAGCGGGCAGTGACCAACTAGGCAAATACTCGTTGTTGTGCCATTACACGTTGTCTATTATCTCACCACAGCAATTGCTGTTCGTCATTAAATGATGTCATTGCAAAGCACTACTATTTTACTACCTATCACCTCCACTATTGCTGATAGGAGAACATATAGCAAACACACCATCTCTTCGAGAACTTCGGTGCCGTATAGCACTGGCACGCACTTATTCTTACGCCAACCGCTACATGACTCAGCACTCAGTGGTACTTGCGTCATTCCTACCTTTCCCGATGCTGTGTTGAAAGTAGTCGCAAGGCTTTGTATCAAAATGCTAAGGTACCGAGTGCCAAGTACTTACACAGACTTCAACTTCGCTGCCCTGATGGCGATCCACATATGTACATAGCCAGTCCCGTTGTGATTGTCAACACGTTATGAAACTGGGTACAATTTTAGTATGTAGTACAGTAGGGGTCCCTACAGAGCGACCCCTAATAGCGCGTCCGGCCTGCCATAGCGCCCCCTTTTTGGCTTGTCCCCCTTTTTGTAGTACTTTGTGCAGCTTCGCTGCGCAGTGGGCCTCAAACTGATATCGTGGACACCCAAGAGAGGTGGCCGCTGGACGGATGCCACGGCGGCCAACCGTTTCTGCGAATTTTGCATATCGCGGACGGGCAGACGGCACGTCCGGTGAGTCTGCCGTGGGGCCCGGGCCCGGGACCTCCCCGGGAGGCCAGGAGAGGTGTGCTTTCTGCGGCAGACCTCCATCTATGCACAGTGAAGCCGGCACTGCCCGCCTTGGCTCCTTGCGGCTGGCAGAGTGGAGGGATAGTGAGGGGTGCCCTCTGCCACGGCGTCCATTTTTTCAACGCGCAGATTGCCGCAGACTCGAGGGCCAATAGAGATCAATGTCCGAACGAGTATTCTGTGCAAACCTCGCCCTTGCCCTTCAGGATCGGTAGCTGGCAGCGGCTGGCGCCAGAGTCAAGGCCGATTGATTGCGCTGCGGGTTCCAATCAGGACACCTGCGGGTGGCACCGTCCAGCGCCAACGGGGGGCGGCAATGGCGAGAGTGGGAGGCCACGTTCGGCCTCCCACTCCCGCCTTGTTGTGACTTCTGTGCCCAGCTGTTAAACGCCATGCAGACGTTGTTGACCATTGGCACTCGCCCCTGCTGCACCTGCTACTCTGGGCCCTGCAACTCGCACACAGGGGAGTCCCTGGCTCCAGGCGACCTGCAGCACGGGTGGGGTGGGACGGGGCGCGTTCGTTGTGTGATGTGCCACTTACGACGCAAAGCACTAGAACACAAGGACGTCCCACCAGTATGTACACGTGTGGTCGTCCACAAATGGACATTGGCAGAAATGGTCAACAGGGGTTGGGGGTGGGTGTGGGGATTATCCCCCGTCCTCTACAGTGTGATGCGACCCAGCCTGGTTGGGCGCAATCCGCATTCATAATGCGGGCAGTGCTGTGCAAGTCCACGTGATGAGTTGTGGCAGGCACCGCATAACATCAATGTAAGCCCCAAACACAGTGTTCCACTACTGTGGCACGATGGCACATGGTGCATGCTTGTGATGGGTAAATTTGGTATCTCAACAGGCCACAACACGGCTAATGGGTTTACTCTTGCGCCTTCTTGTGTTGAGGAGTTTTATTTCATGAACAAAGCCACAATTAAATGAATTAAACCAATAGATTTTTTAACGCCCCCAGTGACCAATAGCGCCCCCTTTTCTTGCCATGTCACCGGGGAGGGAGGTTGAGGGGGGGGCGCTATATAGGGACCCCTACTGTACTTGAATACTTGGTACTTGAGACTCGGTGCTTCAGCCCGCAGCATTTAGCACGGGGCGGCCGCCCCCTGTCCTCCAAACTACGTGTTCAATCAATGTCACAACAAACTCATGCGTCATCACTACAGAAACAACAGTGACCAAACAACAAGTTGCAAACGCTAAGAACAACGGCGTTAAAATGTCTACAACAAATTTTAGCGTGTGATCACAGTGAAGTAACGAACGATGACCAAGAGGTACGCAAACCATAAAGCCATGCCGCGCGTTGAAGAGATAAACGGGTCACACATGGGGCCAGCCCTCGCAACAAGAATACGGTAACACTATATCAACATTAATGCAGTACATGCGCAGAAAATAAATATAATAGAAATACCAAATACACACAATAAATTTCATACACATAGACATGCATACAGATGCAGATACAGAAACAGAAGCAGATGTACATAAATGTAGATAAATGATGCAGGTGTTGATGACTGCAAACAACAGACAAGAATACACGAGACTGTCCTCTCGAAATTTCACGTACCCTCCCGGGACCAGCATCAGGCTCTGATTGGCCGCTTGAGGAGGCATCTCTATAAATGGCGGGCTCCGGCGTGGCGGGGCCGTCCTCATACAGCCCGCCAGTGGCAACTGTGGCATTTTTCTGCGAGCAAGGAAACACCACTTACTCCCAACAAAAGACCATATTTAATTGGTACTATTTCCGCCAATTCAAAACAAATACACACGTGCGAATTGAGAAGACTATCATTTTCCCAATTTCAACTGATTTCGTTTTCCAGTTCGCGAGCTACACAGCCAGCTAGTTCAAATATAAACTGAATTGAAGCCGTCATAATTTTCACTGATCTTAGGTTCTGCATCACAGAATTCTGAAACGCGTGTGGCGAAACGGCGGCAGTTGAAGTCTGTCAGCAGGTGAGCAGTACATGAGTCAATTTAGTTTTTCTTATGATCGAAATTTGCTGCTTTCGCATCCAAAATTCCACCACAATGCCGAAAATCATGTGCCAGTGTGCTGTCGCTGTCCCAAGAGTCTGCCGCCTTTCTTGAACCATGCAAACGCAAACTGAAACGTGCAAGACGGAAACTCGAACGGGCCAGCGTCTCCATGAGTTTGGCTTCAGTACCAGCGTACTAATAGAGCAGTACAAGAATCAATAACACATATAGTACATGGTACTGCATTCAATAGTGTTATAGTATCACTGCTGTTTTTGGTATCTAGTACATGAAGGTGGGCACCTTTTCTAATGTTTCCTTTCCTTGCCGCTTGAGGGCGCTGAGCCGCTCTTGGAAGACTGCCTCTTCGTAGTTTGGGCCCTCCTGCGCCGCAACGGCCATCCTGTCCACCACAGTACATTGCACTCAATTTCGCTGTTTCAGAAAACACATTCGCTTACGAATTGTTCACACATTACATACATTGCAGATAGCATCTGCAACGTACAGAACATATCTGTAATGCACGTCAATATCTGTGATGTACAGGTAGAATCTGTTATCTTTCTTACAAGAAGCAACGTACACTGTACATTGCATTTGAAAAGAAAGAGAGCGCCGTTGAATGGAAATATGGACAAACTGGAACAAGGTGATGGAAATGCATCCAGGAACGGAGTAACAGGCGACATGATCAGAGCAGATCTTCCAGAAAGTAACACACTCCACCCCAACAGCTGATAGGGACTCCACAACTTTCTAAATTTCGCCGCACTACATTGCACTGAGCTGTACAGGCAAGCTGTGTTCACTATCAGGGATTCCTCTATCAATGCACGCGGTACCATACTATGCATATATGACATTGAACATATGCCACACAAACCGTGTTCAATGCTTGCGGAACCATGCTCCTCTTTCAGCGCATAAAATGCGACAATTGAGATGTAGGTACAAGTCAAACTGGATCGAGGATTGGGTACCCATGTTCCTTGATTGTCCCGTGATAAAGTGCCTGAAAACCTCCCATCGCACAGCACGTTGCAAAGTCCGTGCCAACTCTGTTTTGGGAAAGTGGTATAATGCTCAGTACTTTACAATAGTTACTTGTACTATTTTCCTGACTGTTGTTTGTCGTTGTACCATGGTCTATTGCAAACCTGGTCCCCTGGGCCTCAGGCCCCTAGTGACGTTTCTGATCCAAGCTGAACAAAAGTGGGACTAATAGGAAGGAGGAGCACTTTGGGATGGCGAAAATAGGGGCTGTGTAATACTGGAATGTACATCACTTTTCACTGGGAGGATGAATGTGCTCTTCTTGTGGACACACACACATACTCAAATACACTTGTCATAGATTGGTATCCAAATTTGGATATCAATCTTTGGACTTCTGCCATTTCCTTCGACCACCAAGCGAATCACCGGTGAGGGACAGCGAAGCTTTCTGGGATGCATGCAAGCCTGTCATCCCCTTCAAGGCACAAGATCCCTGCCCTGTCTTCCGAATTCAAGCAGTACATGCAAAGTTGCATCGTAATCCCTGCAAACAGTTTCTCACAGAAACCCATTCAGCAACACTCACTCACTCTGCCATCTCTTGCTGCCGGCTGCGCAGCGCGTCCTGTCCAGCCACCCCGCCCTCCTGCGTCTCCAGCATCATCCTATGAGACTTCTTGCCCTTGGGACCTCTTCGGCGGGCCCTTCTTGGGGCCCTAGGGCCCGCTCCCTCATCCTGCAGCCAAAAAGGGTCTGTGCCGTGAGGCCCCGTGCAATGTGCTGCAGTGCAGTGAAGAAGCAAGGTGCTGTTCATAATACTGTCCATGCCTTCTACTGCGCCACAACTTTGTTATGCTTGGCGGCAGTGCTGTGATGCAATGCGGCACGATGTGCTGTTCAGCAGTGCTCTGATTCATCGCGATGCTGCTGTACTTACTGCAGTAATGTGCTTGCCAAAGCAAATCAATGTGTTCCAAGGACAGCCAAAGGAATGGTCCTATGTTATCCATTCTGCCATCATTCAGTACCGCTAGGAGTGTTTGGTGACACATGGGGATTCCAATCACATATGTCATTACATTGGAAACATAATTGTATTGGTATATGATCATATTGGCAAAAGAATATACTTGGGATTGGCAGAATTGTCTCTGTAGACCCCAAAGCCCGATTGGTATAATGGGGTACAGCACTGCTGCATTAAGATGAACAAAACCCTAAAGTGCACTGCCCATAGGGAGAACAAGCCATCATTGAATGCTCCTTGAGTATATTCAAGGCAACCTAGCTAGGACTGGGTTAGGCTCAGTATATGTATCACGGTTGGGCTTGGAGGTGAGTTGGAAATGAAAAGTCCATGGATGCCCACAACTCGCTTCCTTTCTGTTCACAGAACAGCCACATGTGCACATAAGCATGTTTCCATCAAGACTGTCTATATGCAATAGAGTTTTTTTATAGATTATAGTCAATCGCATTGCCCGCAAAATGTATGGGCCAGTCAGGCGGTGTCATTGCAACTGGGATGGGCCCTCATGGTGGTGAGTTGTCACTGCCCATACCAGTCCCATCCTCTCTATTGCTTCAGAATTGCAATCCCTGCCCCTTCAGGGAACGAGTGTCAAGATTATGTGCTCAGTAGTGGGCTCACTGTCTTGAGACAAAGGCATTTGCCCTGTACGATGGCATCGGCATTCCATCAGCATGGGACACAGGCACTGTTCATCAGCACCACTGCTTTGGGCCCCATTCCCAACCCAGTCTGACCAGAAATGGCAGCAGGTGACAGAGTCGACTGACCAAACGTGCATTCGAACTTTTGTTTGTGAAACGTGGGCACGTCCTCTTGTTTTGAGGTGCCCATTATAGCATTACATTCTGGTGCAATGCGCAGCCTGACTGCATGCCACTCAATGCGGAATGCACAGCAAGGTCCAGTTCAGTTCAGTTCAGCAATGGCCCTCACTTCATTGAAACTTTCATTTATTTTGTTGATTGTAATCTTCTCAAGCTTGTATTCATTCTGTTGGTTGTCGTGTCCAGTACCCGACCAATTCTGGCAAGGGCTTTCGAGCCAGCAGACGCATACGCAGTCCCACACAGGACAGAAACACGGCAATTTCTTGTACTTCCTCCATATTTTCTTTCCTTTTTTGGGTTTGACACTCCATGCAAGCAGAACAACAACAGCAAGACACCCACCCCACCCCCCAACACCCCCAGGCTGTAATATGAACGTTTCAAAGCATGGAAAAGAGCCTCGCATACACTTGTTTAGGAGACGGTGCCGTTTGCAAGACCTGTATCTTCCTCGTTTTGTACCCCCCCCTCCTGACCATGGGACTCCTGATGGAACGTTGAAAAACCTTGGACATCGAAAATGAATGGTGACAACATGGGACATCGAAAAACATGGTTGGTCATGGGGTGCGTCTGTTCTCAACTGTTGCGCGCGACACTTCGAGTGTCGGGCGATTGCGTGAACCGTTGGCGTCCCCACATTATGGTCGCGGCAATGTCTCCCGCAAGGCGCAAAGGAGCCAAGCGGGAATCGGCAAAGAGGCGAGAGAAGGAGCAATCGAAATAGGAGCGAAGGAGCAGTCGAGAAAAGGGGGGGCGAGGGTATAGCGCGGGCTCCCCCCAATTCCACATCAAAACGGCCAACCGATGGCGAGATTGAGGGAAGCGCAAGGTTGAAAATGAACGCAAGAAACCGTAACGCAAGAGAAGGCAACGCAAGGAAATGCAGTGAGTCCTGGCGACGGAGGGGGGTGGGGGTTGGTGGGGGGTGGGCGCCCGGCAGCGCCGTGCGGGCTTGCCTTTGCCTGTGGCTTTTGGTCATCTCCAAATCCGCGGCCGGCCTGGCAGAGGGCTGCCGCCCTGGGCCGATCGGCTCGACGGCCCTCCGGGAGGATGCGCCGATCGGGGAGGCGGGGCGGGACCGCCCGGCCGTCGGCGCCTGCACGAGCTGCGTTGACTCCGGTCAACGGAGGCATGGCTGGTTGCACACGAGCCGGTGCTTGGGCCTTCCGAGGTCTGGTAGGGAAGCGTTCCAATTTCTTGGGCGGCGGAACTCTGGGTCATTCTGGGTCATTATCTCGGCGGATCTGGAGTTTCGTTAATTTTGTGGATCTCCGGCGAGAGATCGCCCATTTCGCGAAATGCGACCAAGGACAGCGAACGAATCACGGGCACTGTTTTTGTCGCAACATAGGGAGATGGTCGCTGCCTACTTGCCTGGGATCAATCCGATGGTTGCAATACTGTTACCGATCCTTGAATTGAATTGAGATTTCATCTGAAATACACACGACTCCCAACATTTCAAAAGGATGCAACGAAGGTGGCTGAATCTGGTCGAATGCTGAGAGTTGCGTGTCTGTCTCCAGTCACCGCGGAAGCACACCGTACGTTTCAACCACCGGAGCAAAGCGGGCATCAGACCTGGCAAGCAGCACCTTTAACTCTTTTCCGGGAAAAGCGGTATTAGGCTCAACTACTTCACAGTGCTTGCTGGCACCAGTGTTCCTGAAAGGGTATTCTCTGCAACACTACCTTAATTATATTTTGCAGTGAATGTGCCATCCAACTGCGTAGTCAAACATTGGTGTACCAAGCACGTATCCTTCACCTTTGCGCGTACATGGTGCACTTACGGAAGCAAAACAAACGGGTTGCACGAGAACGAAAGCCAAACTCCAAGTCCAGAAAAGTGGCAGGTGAGGCCGTGCGAGAGAGCAAATGTGTTGCAAGTCGACGTGACGCGCTCAAGTCACAACGCAATTCGCCTTCACATGAAAAAAGCCAAACAGAGTCCGCCTCTCCTTGAATTCAAGGAGTTTTGCCTGTCAGAGAAAAACTATTTCACGAGTTGCACCAAGAAAATAGCCCAGCACACCAGCCGGTAAATCGTAGAGATTTCAGCCAGCCATGCCGCAAAGATCGCGTGTCCATCATACCAGAAGCGCCAGCCCACGTGTGTTTGTTGACCTTGCGCAAAAGAACAAGTCCCCCTCTCACGGTAGACTGTCCAATGCACTGGCAACAAAGATGAAAAGAATGCCCAGCCACAAGATCAGTCCATGGACACTTTTGCAGCACATTGGAGACCAGCCACCACCGCCTGACATGTGGTTTTCGCCTTTTGCTTTGTCGCCACAAATTTCGCAGGCGGGTTGTTGCAACGCAGTTGCTCAACGTGGCTCCTAGCGCTTGCATGAGTCGCCGGAAAATTTAGAGAAAGTTTTGCACCAAGCCACGAACGAATGTCTTCAAACGTTTCGCAGGGCTGTATTGCCCAACCCGGTGGGAAGCAAGCACGCATGGCACAAATTTTTGAGAGAATATATTTTTGAGATAATTTTTGAGACCGCAGTCGGATCTCCATTGCCCTGAGCTGAACATTCATCATCGCAGTTAGTCCTCAAATCTCTGGTCGTACATTTTTGAAAGAAGGCGGCATTAGAACTTGAGCTCGCTTGTAAGAGGATCCAAGGAAACGAGCCACGCGCGAAGCGTAAACGAGCAGACCAGATGACCAATATCCATTTCGTAGCCTTGGAATGCAGTCCTAAGTTCAGACTCGATTTCTAGTTCACTTTCATAATAATTTTGTGCCTTCCTCAGTTTTCTGTCTGCTTTATTGTCCTTTCATGTATTTTGACGCCAGATGACATCACCGCAGCTGCTGCTTTGGCCCAATGTATTCAATACCAGATGGCACCTCAACGAGTGCTGCTTTGGCCGTTTTTTCACACAAGAGCACTGTTGTTTGACGGAGACAATTTGGTGGTCAAACAGAATCAACCACAGCATATTCTTAGTTCATTTTTAAGCATTCAATAATTCACTCGCGATTGGTAGTGAAAAGTTGTTGTGTGGCAGATGCGGTGCAAGAGCACGCATCCAATGCCTAGTACGCCAGATTCACATGGATGGCGGCATTGGAAAAGCTCGACGAGCATGGTATCCGTGATGATCGCCATGCTGCGATCTTCGTATTGATCGTTATGCAATTGTCGCCTTGCGATGGTCTTCACCGTGGTTTTCAAGCAATCAGGCTTGCTGTTTATGGCGGAAATACAGCGCACATTTTCTCATTCACGCATAAAAATATCTGCACGAGTAGTAATAACGTACTCGCAAAAACACGTAAATTTACTTTTAAAAGTACGTAAGCACAGGTCCTGTGTACATAAACAGTACAGTGCACACAGAGTGAGGGAGTCCCGGGAAGTGGCAACCAGACGTGCTGGTGTGGGCAGACAACGGGCTTTTCTTCGGCGGCGCCCTTGTCCTTGCCAAGGGCGACGTGGACGCTGTGTTGCGAGTGCCCGGGGGGATGAGCACTGATCATTGTTCGCAACTTCATCATGTAATCTGTTTGTCTCGCAACGCAGACATGCGTAAATAAGTAATGAATCACATGGCAAATTCTGCCCCTTGCCGTTGCGAGGCTGCATTGCACCGCGACAAATCGTCGCTCGCCGGCGCAGGCCGGGCAACGATGTCCTGTGCACCCACTAGACAATCACCAGCGCTGCGATTTGCCATGTGCGCTCCCTTGCCCGCAGGGGAGTCCACCAGACGGGCCACCCTTCATGTAATTACACATTCACCGCTGATCGAGGCAATTGATCCTCCTCTCAGCTTGTATCAACTCCATGGCAATTGGGTAAGTCGTTGGCGCCACAGGTCTGAACCCACCCCCTCTTCGCTTAGCTAGGCGAGGTCCCTGTCCAGCAAACATGGTTGCTATTGCGTCATTTCGACGCTGGGCGCACTAACATCGGATGAGTGCGTTCCGCCATTCTGGGCTCACGCGCTCGGCGTTACGGCCTAACGCCCATCTCTCCCAGTGGGGTGCGTGTGATTGGCGCTAATATCATATTAGCACTAATATCACACACGCCACTGGGACAGGTGGGCTCTAGGTCACGTAAATGGCATATGTTCGCGCTCACAATTGTCGCATAGATGGCGCCCAAACCCTCTTCTTATGCCAGCTCTCCCACAGTTTCGGCTGTCAGCGCGCCCCAAACCCCGTGCCCAGAAGTCCGAAGACATCGGCGTTTCGGTCCGAAACTCTCTGCTGTCCGACAGTCACTGTCGGAGCGTTGTGTTGTTTCAAGTGTCGGGCTGCGCGACGGCGGGCCAGCGCGAGTTGCGCCCATCTCTTCCGGCCGGGCAGAACCGAAACTTGGGGCTCTCGCCCTCGAGTTCGACCCAAAACTTTTGGGCCAGCGTTTTGACCTGTTGACATTAGCGTTGACCCGGTCGAGCGTTTGACTGCGTCAAAGTTTGAGCGGCCAACTTTCTGCTACGTCGAAGTTTGACTGGTCAACGTTTGTCCGCGCGGAAGTTTGAGGCGGCGCGTCAGACACACCGCCAGCCCACAGCCCACACACTCCAGTACTTGACGCGCACCGAACCGCCGCAACTACTGCGACAGCCCCAAACTACCTCTCTAAGCCAGCACATCGCACCCACATCAGGCGTCCCCCCTCATCAGGCTGCGAGGCGGCCCCCTAAACACCGGGGCCCCTCCCGTGGGTCAGGAACTCCTCCTGGCCCACCGAGCGTTGACTGGGCAACGCAGAGCCGGCCGGGGCGCCCGCGAAAGCGGCGGGGCGCGCGCCTCCGGCTTCCCCCGCCAGCACCACCGGTGAGTCATCCCCCCCTCCCCCAAAGCGATTCGAGCGCCCACCGGGTTCAGAACGGCACCGCCCAGCGGGGCGCACAGCTGGGCGCCATTCCCAATATTGGGCGCCATTTGCTCGTGCTGTCGAGCCTCTCTGGGCCGGGGGAAAGCAACCCGCTTCCATGCTCCGCGACCGTGGCGGTGATGCTCGCGCCGACGTTGCCAGTCTCCGCCCCTCCCTTCCCGCCACTTTGGTGCCGAATTTCACCCCTCGAATGCCGCCGCATCGCCACGAAGTCTGGCTCCCTCGCCCACCCAAACCCCCGCGCCTTCCGATTGCCTTCTCCGCCCTCTCAACGCGCGCCCCACCGGGTTAACGCGCATGCCCCGGATTCGCAAAATGGCACCACGTCGCCGCCATCGGACCCACCCATGCCGCCCGCCGCGCTCTTGACCCCGCCCTGCGCGCGTCTCGGAGCCGCGAATGTCGACCAACAGCGTTGACCGCGTTGACCGCCGGGGCGCCATGCACGGCCATCGAGCCCCTTGTCGCGAGATTGTTGCCATAAAGACACGGGCCACCCCGCCCCACCCCTGAGGGCTCGTTCCTTGGAGGGATTGTTCCATCGAGGAGCCCGTGTATTTCGCTCGTTTGGCGGCTGTGCATTTTTGTCGCCGTGTGTGCGGCGCCCTGCGGCGCTGGGCGCCCAGGCGGGGATCGTATCTGCGGTACACTCGCTGGCGCTGGGCGGTACGCCTCGAAAGGGGAGGGCTTTTGACGGGCGGCCTCTAAGGAAAACGCTGGTGATGGCATGGGCCATGGGAAGCGGGGTGGCCGGCCGTCTGACTGGTGCTGACATGTGTGCTGGCGCGGGCGCTCGGTCCGCGCGATGGTGAACCGCGTCGGGCATACGACAGGAAATTTGTGTTGATACGACACTGAGTGGAGTTGGAGTTGGGACGAGGAGGCGACGGGGGCTGAGGCTCGCGTTCAGGGACGCGAAACATGCAGTGCGGGACAACATACACGTGTATATGTACACAACGACGCGAAAGGATCCCATTGTGCTTTACGTTTTGCGGGGGAGCTCCTTGCTTAGATCAGCGTGTAATACATTGGAATCCAAAAAATTACACAACGACGTAAGACCAATTATTGAAGTTTGGGGTGGAATCCGAGTTGTGTTGTGCTGGCGCGGGCGCTCGGTTCGAGCAATGGTGAACCGCATCGGGCATGCGACAGGAAATTTGGGTTGATAGGACAGTGAGTTGAGTTTAAATTGGGATGAGGAGGCGCAGACAGGGGAAGCTACGATTCGCGGTCAGGGAGCTGGAATGTGCGGTGTGGTGCAAATTAGAAACAGGCAGGGGAAGGGGTGATTGAAAGCGCAAAGGGAAGCACGTGGTGCAAAAACTAAACATGACCTTAATGTGGGTTTGTGATGTGTTTATTGCAAAACGGGTTGTGTTACAGCACAGTACGCATGTACAGTACTGTAGTAGTGTGCGTTCAGCACAGAGCCATTGCTGTTGGCGAATGCCGTCGAATGGATGCTGCAAGGGAGTGCCGCGTCACTGCAACAGTACCTGTCGGGAAGTTCAGTCTCTTTTAAAGGAGCAGCATAGCAAATACCGCTTGTATGATACAAAAATGTGCATTCCAAAACACGGTGCGCATACATCACATACAAGACGGAGTAGCAAGGCATTTTGTTACATTTTATTACATTTTGAGCTGCGCCACTGCTGTGGGCAGGTTCCGCTGAAAGGTGTCTGCGCCGACCAGGGCGGAGTTCTTCATCCAGCCGGCGCTGGGGAGCCGGTTCCGAGGCCCTGAGGGCCAGCACCGTGTAGATGAACCCAAGGACTGACCCACACGGTCCCACGGCGGTCAACATTGTCCCAGGGCGCCGATCCACATGGATTCCAGAGCGTCCACGGCCGGGCGGCTTCTGACGCTCTTCGCATTCTACGTACTAATCCACTGGACCTCAGGGACCCGCCCCTCCTCGGGCCCTGGAGCCCTGGACTGCGCCCAGCTCCTGTCGAATTCGAGTTTAAATCTAAATTCAAACGATTTGAACTTGGCGCCGGAGGGGCGGGTGGTTGTTGTGCGGGGCGCCTTGGCGTGCGGCGCAAAGTTTGGTCAACGTGAACGGGTCGTGCTCAACGCGTCAAGGGTAACTTTGCAGGGCCGGCCGGCAGCCACGGACGCAGCCATAATGTACTGGCCGGACTGGCGGGATGCAATCTCGCTCCAGAACGGGGCCGTGCTGAAATTGCAGAGCCTGGTGCTGATCACCGGAGAGGGCGGATTTCCCAAACGGGATTCAGAATCTGGTTATTCTGATTTTTCCGATGTTGTGGAAACATCGGAGTTTGCGAATTTTTCGGATTTCTTGGAAATTTGCGGCAGCGGCTTCAGAAAGGGCTCTATCGAGCTGGAGGACGTGCTGGTGGTCGACGGGCGTTGCGGGGGGCAAGGATCACGGGGCCCAAGATGGAGTCGGAAATCGCTGAGAAAGGCTGCCGCTGGCCTTGCTGCTGTCCGCCTCATTCGATATTGCACATGCCCTGCATCTGCGGACGGGTTTGCAATTCCCGGAGGCACCCCTCCCGGCCCCTCCTGCCGCGCCCTACCCTGCTCCCCCACCGCCGGCTGCAGTTCCTTGGGTTCCACCAATTGGACTGCAGAGCGAATTTCCCAGCTCGAGATCTTTGAATCTGCGATGTTCTATTCTGATGGATTGAAATCTACGACAACCTGCGGCGGGGCAGTTCTGAGGGCGGAGATGCCTGTCGCCCTCGGCGCTGGACTGGCCGGCGGCGGTGCACTCTTGGCCATGGTCACCATCTGCCTGTGGACTGCATTCGGCAAGCGGCGCTGCAAGCGTCGAAAGGAGCTCACCAAGCTGATGGATCTGGTAGGAATCGAGAGCCCAGAAGATGAGTCATCCCCTGGGGACCATGAAGATGGATCCCTGGAGGGGTTGTGCCTGTCCCAAGTGGAATTGGGGTACCCCTTGGGGGAGGGGGGATTCGGCAAGGTGTACATGGGTGCATTCCAGGGGAAAATGATCGCGGTGAAAATCATCGATCACGACGGCACCGCGCTGGACGCGCACGGCGTGCTGCTGGAAGCTGCGCTCAGTAGGGACCTGCGTCACCCCAACGTCGTGATGACGTACCTCAACGAGACACGGCCATGGGAGGGGGCCAGGGGCCCGCCCGGCCGCCAGGACCCTAAGGAACGGGCCGGAAAAACCGCGAGATCGGGCCCTGAAGATGGGGATGATGACTTCAGTTACTTGGCGCAGAGGATGCGGGGGCAGGGGAAGGGGGAGGAAGGGGCGTTCAGGACGTGGATCGTAATGGAGTACTGCGAGGGAGGGTCGCTGGCGAGGGCTGTCAGGGAGGGGGCGCTGTTCTACGACGAGGAGAGGGTGGCCCCAAGGTACCCGGCGGTGGTGCTGTGCGCGCTGGACGTGGCGCGCGCCATGGCACACCTGCACGGAAGGTGGGCCGAAATCCTCATGCCACTGCAGGACTCTTGGAGATTCACCGCCTTTGGGAATAACATGGCACAAGGCTCAGTGCTTTACAGTACTTGCTTGCACCAACATCTCCAGAAAGGACGAACGCTTCCAGCAGGGCCTGCTGTCTTTTCCCCTTTTCCACCTCTTCTTTCGTGCATTTTTTTCTCTTTCTTGCTCATTCATTTCGCCCCTTCCCATCGCTCTTGTTTTCCGTTTTCTGAAGTTGAGTTCATTGGCTTTTGTTCTATTTAATTATTCGCTCATCTGCCTATCCACCTGCCCGCTCTTTACTCGCCGATGCACCTCGGGCAGAGCGCTGATCGTTGCTTATGTCTGGTTATTTGTAGTTGTTGTTACTGATCAGCACTCGTCTTACTTGCGTATATTGGCGATTGGCAGTTGTTATTACTGATCGGAGCAGTCATTGCTTGTATATGCTGATTGTTAGCAGTTATTGTTACTGATCAGCACTCGCCTATGCTTGTGTGTATTGGCGATTGGCAGTTCTCATTACTGATTGGCAGTTTTTCTCACTGATGCTACTTGTGTATGTTGGCTATTGGCAGCTGTTACTGCTGACCAGCACTCGTCTACACTTGCGTACTTGGGTTGTTGGCACTTTTCATCGCTGATTGGCAGTTGCATTTATGGATTATAGCTCGTCTGTACAGACACACATATTTGCACATACACTTGTAAATACATTCATATACGTTGGTGCTTAGCATTCGCCCCCCCGCCGCAGGCGCGTCATCCACGGGGACCTCAAGGCCCAGAACGTCCTGCTGAAGACCGACCCCGCCGACCAGCGCGGTTTCCGCTGCAAGGTTGGCGACTTCGGCCTCAGCCGCGCCAGCCCCAGCGCCACCGCCATCCGGACCTTCACCTGTGGCACCACCAGATACTGCCCGCCGGAGCTGCTGAGGGACGGCCTGCTGACGCCAGCAGCTGACGTGTACTCGTGAGTGGCGCGCGAGGCCTCAGAGCGCGGCATGGTTGCGCAGATCGTTCCCGCCAAAAAAAGGCCAAAATAATTTAAAGTAGAATTTAAACAAAGTGCGAAAAGACGTCATTTTGTTTAAAGCGGCTTGGCAGAACGAGGGGCGGCGAACGAAGCCGGCCGTATTGGGTTCGTTTTTTCACTTTCTCTCATGTTATTTCCCTTTCTTTATTTTTTATTTTTACATGCGCGTTGCAGAGCTCTGAGCTGCCACGCACCGAGCCACCGACATTCCTTCTCTGGGGCAACACAAAAAGCCGACGCCCGCCAGCCCGCCCCCTTCCCTAACGTTATGACGCACGCCGCACGACCTCCCGTGGGTCAGTTCTCCCGTTGACCACCCTACCTGGCACTGACCCACCGAGCACAGTTTGTGTTTGCGTTTTAATGACGTAAAGAACGTAAATACGAACTGTGTTTAAGGCAAAGAAGTAAGCGCACACAACACTCAAGATGCAAAAGGTAAACACGATCAGCGTTTATGCAATGCGCAAAAACGTAAAATTAAACGGAAAAATAAACATAAAAGTAACCATAGAAATGAACGCAAAAATCAGCGCAAAAACAGAATTAACGCAACGGTCAACGTATAAATGGTGCTGTGGACGTAAGCAGGTTCGGCATGCTGCTGTGGGAGCTGGTCTCTGGGCGCAAGGCCTTCCAGGACCTGGCGCAGCAGGACATCGTGGTGGCGGCGGTGGCCGGCAGGCGCCCGCCCGTCCCTCGGCACTGCCCCTCCGACATCAGGTCGCTCATCCGCGACTGCTGGGCGGCGGACCGCAAGGAACGGCCGAGTTTTGAGTCTGTTGTGGGGCGGCTGCGGCGCCTGGCGGGGACCTACGCGCCGGGGCTGGCGGAAAGCGGTCCGAGGGAGCAAGCGGTGAGTCGGGTTGTGGGGTATGCGCATGGGAGTTTTATGCCTCCCATGAATTTCATGGAATGCTTTGTGGAAATGGGATGGCTTATGGAATGTCTTTTATATCTCCCATGAATTTCATGGAATGGTTTATGGAAATGGAATGGCTCATGGAATTGCAATGGTTCATGGAATTGGAATGGTTCATGGAATTGTTCACGTTGACGAAGGCAGGCAGGATCGAGGGGTGGCGATCCCTGGACGGGAATTGTACGCTCGAGTCCACGACAACGGTTTACAGCCGAGGCAAAAGGACAACAAGCGTTCTGTCCTTTATACTTTTTCTGTCCTTCCGTTCATCAACATCCTTAATGCAATTCCTAGTGCTTCATCATCTTTTCATGCACTCAGTTAATAATAACACTCAATCAGTTCTAGCCGTAACAACGTCTCCCATAATTTTCATGAATAGGTTCATGGGAATGGAGTGGCTTATGGGAATGGAATGGTTTATGTCTCCCATGAATTTCTGCATTGATCCCACAATCTTTCAAAGATTGTGAGGTCATTGTAGACCGCCAGCAGAGAGACGTTGTTGATTGTCTGACGTCAGCAGAGACGCGCGACACGACCAGTTTGTCGATTTTTCGCGTTGCCTGCAGGAATTTTCCTTTTTCCGTTCTCCCATGAAAGAAAACGAAAAGAAAGAATAGATGAACCGTTCCTTTTCTTTCTTTCTTTTGAAAGACTGATGTGAGGTCAAGTGCGTTGCGTTGGTTTTCGCTACCTGCTGCCAGTCGTGCATTTTTCTTTCTCTCTGTTTAGGAAAGCGTAGAAATCTATTAAATTACCAAAAAGAAAGAAAAGGAGGGGAACGAAAACTCCCCACAGAGCCCAACATATATGGGAATCTACACCGGGGCGTCGGGGTTGCGCCAGCAGAAATCGACATTTTTACGATGCCAACAGCGATGCCGTTTGACACTAATTGATGCCATCGTAGCCACTCTTGTGCCATCGCAATCACTGTGATGGCGCCACTTTGTGTCGGAATGGCGCCGCAGCTGGCATCGCAAACACGGCGTTTTCTGATAATGTTGTCGGACGGCGGTTCGAGGGCCTAGAGGGTGAGTCGCCAGGAAAAACGCACGGTTGAAATGTGCTTCTATGAATGCAAAAAACGTATTAATGTGTACTGCGAATGCATGAAATTTGGATGAATAAGTGGACAGTAACTGTGTTTCATGCTTGAAGATGTGCATGTTGAAGTACACGAGTGTACCAATAATGCAATTGGCATTTTCGGTCAAAAGCAGCGCTGACAGTGGGGTGATTGCTGTGGCGATGATTAACGATAATCGATGCGGAAATCCGCAACCAGCATTGCCCCGCAGCCACCCAAGATGGCATTGCGCAGGGGCCAGCCTGGTCTCGCGGATTCGGTTAACGCGTTCACGAGCTCAAATTCGAAATGGTCGACAACTACAGTCAACGAACTCGGCGTAGCTTTGTTTTAAAAATACAACTTTAATAAAGAAGTAATTGACAACATAATTTTGATGAATATTATTCTTTCTTCGCATTCAGGGGGAGACCAAACGGGGAGTCTGGCGGCCAGACGTTAATGGGACGGACAGCAGCTTCTCTTCGGATGACGGAAGGCCGTTCGTGAGGGACGTATGCCTGGCAGCTCTGCAGTCGCCGGCCACAGGTGGTTGTCCTAAAAGTTCACTGGAAACCGTTCTAGTGGTACATTTTAGTTCCTGTGCGCCAACGTCACTGATTGGATTGATGTGGCTTTCCTTGGCAACAGCACAATATCTCATGCGTGGAGCAATGCGCCAGTACGTGTAATGCACAGAAGACGGCAAGTACGTGTCGTTAGCACAGTCTTGACCCTCAGAATTGCTGCGAACAGCACAACCATTGATATTCATTAAAATCGGCGTCGGGCAAAGTTGCAAGTGCTCAATTGTACACTCATGTCTTTTCACGTGCGAACACACATTAGAATGTTGAATTTCACATTAAAGATGTTTGAAGTTCCAAGAAGTGTCATAAATCATGGAGTTTATGCGATGACGCAATTTTATTCAATTTTACTGTGCACTACTTTATTGTGCATTTTATCTGCATTTTTTGTGCACGCATTTATTGTGCAATGTATGTGATGTCTGTTTACCTTTTTTGTGGATTCGATTTCGCAGGTTGCCTCCGCGGCTCCCTCTTCCGTTTGGAGAGCAGCAGCGCTAACCTGTGGGACACTCCCACCCCGTGCACGTCCGAGTCCGCGAAGGACCTCGGGGCCCGCGGACCCGCTGGTCAAAGCTCGGTCAACGCTATCACTGACCAGGTCGAACCACAGCCAACAGTCGGAGGGGCGGCCGGGGAGGCGACGCCCAGAGGCGCAGCGGAAACCGACCCGCCTGCGGAAACCGTGGAGAAGGACGGGGGAAGTCGCTCGAAAGCTGCCACGACAATCGACGTGAAAGGGGGGCGGATCTGCGATCCGGGGACTGTGAAGCGCAGCCCACAATGGGTGGCGGCGGCATCCGCCGATCCAGGCCAGAAATACGGACTTCAGAATTCAGGGAAGTTCGGAAAGTTTGGAAAATTAAGAAAGCTCGATCGGGATTCGGACAGCAGTGAATCTGATGCCGCGTCCAGTGAGGGCGGCGGGCAGCGCCAGTGTGACGGCCAGCTCCGGGCCCCAAGTGCCCAGGTCCCGTCCGCGGACCTGGGGGCCCGGCCCCGCAGGCCCAGGACCGCCTCCGAACTTTCCGCGGGACCCAAGGAACGGCCCCAAAAAGCCGCGATGGCCATCAGGGCCGCGATGGCCTGCGAGGCGCTGCCGGGATGGCAGGGATCGATTTCTGCGGCGGAGGGCGGGGGCCGATTGATTGCCGCGGACGGTGGTGGCCGATTGATTTCCGCATGCCGCAACGACTATTACGAGGTGATCAACGCGTTCACGACGTCGATGAATGGTTCGGAGGAGGACTGGCCGCCGCCGCCGCCGCCCGTCAGCTTCGACGAGTCGAATACCCAACGAGTCCTCTCGCGCGTGTCGGAGGACGTGGAGGAGCCGAGGCCCCTGAGCGTGACGCCGAGGTCGCCATGGTGACCCGCGGGACAGGTTTAGGCTTCTTGCACGGGCCAGTTTTGGGCGTCGCGTGCGGGCCTGGTTTAGCGGCACGACACTGTCTCGGCGTCCGTGGCGCACGGGCCATGTCTAAGCTTCGGACTTCGAGATTTTATAGCCGGTGCTATGCGCGGAGTATGTCCGAGTGACGCCTCGGGAGGTACTGGCCGGCGTTAGGTGTCGGTCACGCGCGGGCCAGTTTTAGGGCTGGGGGGGCACGGCCCTCGATACAGCATCGCCTGACTCAGCCCCCAAGTACTGCAGTACTTTGGGTGCGGAGCCGCCGTCTGCCGGGAGACTGCGGCGCCGCTCATGTACTGGAACAGTCGCCGACTGGGCGGCCCGGGTTTGGCTTCGAAAATGCACGGGCCAGGTTGAGGCACGGGTGACGCGCAGGCCCGCTTTATCCACGAGTCTGTCCGGCGTCGGTTTGCAATGTCGGTGACCCGGGGGCCAGTGTTGACGATCATTTGTTGGTAGTCAGTTGCCTAACTTTGACCCGCCGGCATTGACCCGTTAACCTGGTGAAACCCGGTCAGCGGCCGGCGCTGCAGCTCTTGGCCGGCGCCCGCTGCGTGCTTGGGGCTGGTTGAAGGCGCATAAAAGATTCATCATTTGCGAACTAGTGAATAATCAGTGCGTTAATCTATTAAAATGCGTTAATTGAGAAAGGCGTGCATTAATTTCTTGAAAATAAGTTGAGTGGGGTAGGGCGCCGCTGGGGGCGTTGCCATCTGCCTGGAGGACTGGCGGAAAGAGACCTTCCTCGGATTAATCATGATTACGTAACGCTTGCGATACGCAAGTGCAGTGTCTGGAACCATCTTCGGGTGGCGTGTCGGTGACGGCAGTGACGTAGCCGAGGTGCGTTTTGGGGTTAGGTTTAGGTTTGGCATTTTGGTTTAGGTCCGTGGGATTGCACGAAAGTGGAGCAGAAATAAACGAACGCCAAATTGAACTTCGAACTTGAACAGAAAACCTGGATATCATTGGGCGGGCGACCGCTGGGGGGTTGCCAGGAGGGCCCAGTGGCAAGGGGCCATGTCAAGAATTTTTCTTCGTAACGCATCGGGTTGCATGGCCGTGTCACGCAATTCGCGCACCCGATGGGTGGCCGCGAACATGGGCAGCACATTCACAGGCTCTGCAGTAGGCAGGAGGGCCGCATTCAGTCGAGCACGTTGCTGCTGCATTGGCGCATTACTGCGTTAGTAATTTATCGCGTTGTTGCTGAAGTACTAAGCACCGTTGGCAGGCGTTCCTTTGGGACCAGTTAGCTTTTTGTGTCGTGGTGTCTCCCTTGGGCCTCTCGTGCCTGGGGTCCTTGAGGTCAGGATTCACAGCCTCGTTTTAGGGCCCTCTTGCGGACACGGTACGCGTTTAAGGAGAACATTTATTGGTGGTTTGTTGGGGAGGCTGCTTGCGTTCGGGCATTGACTGCCCTAATACTAAATTGAGCGGGTTGGATTTGTTAGTCTAGAAACGAACGAGTGGGATGGGTTTCGGGTGATAGGCATTGTAAAGATTTAAGTGAATGGGCGGCTTCCCAAGTCGGTGCCTTACAAATTGGTGATTTGCCCTTTGCAATCAAAGGCCGGCAACCTGCCACATCTGCAAAAGCCGTTTCCTTGATTTTTATTTCTTGCGTTTGCATAAATTTACGTACTTCTTGCTCGAAGTACTTTTTACTCGTATTGAATTACCTTCACATTGAAGTATTTTTCCGTACTTTTTTCGTACTTGTTCGCCTTTTGTTATATTTCATCCGGCGGAGGTGCGAGCACCTGAAATTTATGAACTTAACGCTGGCGCTGTCTCCCTGGCAGCCACAAAAACTGGAACTTCCAGGTGTCTGGAAGTCGTCCTCAGGTGTGCTCCACGTTTACAGGGCTCTGACGTGTGCCGAACTCATAAATGAGCAGCGCCCAGGGCAATATCTTGTAAACATAATGATGTGTATCGTGATAAAACAATGAATATAATGCTTGGGGTGCAAAGTCGTGGCCGTTATGCAGGCAGACGCTGCTTCAACAACGCCTGAAACAGGATACAAGATGCCTTTCTTGACTCTCTGTTCTGCTGGCTAATGCCAGCAATCAAGCAGATGCAACAGCCACCGCGAGTTGTGTCGTTGATGTGCCATGCAGCAGGGCTCTTTTCTGATTGACCGTTGAATCGCCCTGGTTGTTTGTTCGGATTAATCTCGTTGACGGGATGGATTCGATGTGTGGGCTGGATGAATGGACTGCGGTGTTGGACCATTTTGACCAGGGAGCAACTAAACCACCAGAACCAGAAGGGAACCTTGCAGTGCATTCTCGGCGACCCATTCACCACCATCCAGACTCCCATGCACAACAGGGCACAACCCTGTGGAGGTATGGCAGGCCTCGAAGATGCAGTCCAAATTCCAGCGCAAAACAAGGACACGGCCCTGAGGGGTGGTGGACGGGATGAGATATCCAGACTCGACCATGTTTCGCACAGAGGACACCGACTGCCCAAAAAGCCATGCCCAGGCCTTTCCAACTGAAGCACAGCATCGCAGGATCCATCAGGCTGCAAGCACCCCAGCCTGAAGTACCCTCAAGTGCAGTTTGTGTCATGGTGACTCTGACACTGGCAATTTTTGACAAACGCATTAGATGCAGAACTACAGAGCCAGCAGCTGACTGCCCTAGAAATATCCTGGCATCTTGGCGCCCACAGATTCGCCAGGCCCAGAACAGAACGCCACCCACACCAATCAGTTTCGTTTTCATTGTCTGAATGCAGCACGCTGAGGTGAGAAGTGCCCTCACTGCAAGGCCCTCAAAAACCTCTCATCCCCCAAGACAGTCTTGCAGCTCACAAGGTGCTTAGCGCCGAGTCGCTGGTCTGCTCCTCAACCCCACACCTCTCAACCCCAGCGCCTTCAGAATGCCTTCAGTGAGGGCAGCACACCTGGCCAAAATGGGACCCTAAATAGCCAAACATTCCAAGATATCAAGCCCCCATTTGCTCTGTGGCATGCACGCCCAGCACACCAGAGCATGCCGCCGATCTCCAACAAGGTGCATGCTCACCTCAGGCCACTTTCCCTCCCAGGCTGGAAAAGAAGTCATAACGAATTCTGGCCCTGGCCACAGTCAAGCCATGTGAATGCAGCACTGCTGAACGCACAGGGCCTCGTTCTGCCTCGCCCAACCAACCACAGTGCGCCCTTGCCCCTGCTCCACAGAGATCGAAAATCACCCCAGGGGCAATCGAGCCTGAGCTCAAGAGCCCCATGATCCTTGACGAAAACAGGGCTGCCATGGCAAGCATGTGGAATCGGCCATGCTGGGCACAATGGAAACCCAGCAGCTACCCCGTCGTCGACCATCTCTGCCGATGTCCAAGTCGAGGCTTAGGTCCCCTGTCACACGGCCAAGCATAATCCCGCAAACATCCCAACTCGGCCCAAACAGTGAGCCAGCAACAGCCCGCGCTCCCCTGCCCCTTGGCCCATTCCCTCCCCTCGCAAAATCCATAGCCCATCCAAGCAGCCCCAGAAGATCTGTCCCTCCCAGCATCCACCCCCGGCCAACCCCTGCACGCCCTTCAAGCTGGAGGAATGGGAAGGGCAAGAAAGAGGCAAGACACGAAAGGAAAATAGGACTGGAAGAGAAGAAGGCAAGAGGGAAGAAAGGGTGGGGGCTGTGGGCTGACTGGGTTTACCCCCCGGAAGCCACCGAGCCACCGAGCACCCTGTCACAGCTTCGACCTTTCCTGGCCCCCCCCTCCCGCCGGCGTCACGTACGACACCACAACTGTGATGTCGTCCATCTTGCCCCCGCCGTTGTACAGGATCCCGTTGGCCCGCGCCTCCAGCGCGAAGGGCGTCACCGCCCGCCGGTCGCCCGCCCTCGCGAACGCGGCCTGCGCCAGCGCCTTGCTGGCCCCCCCCGCGCTCATCCCCTTCGCCTGCGCCTGGGCCACCACCCCAACGCACTCCTCCGCGAACAGATTGTCGAAGACGCCGTCCGTGGCCGCCACGATCGCATCGCCGGCCCGCACTCTGATCGCGAAGCTCTGGGCCTCGTCGGGGCCCTGGTAGGCACGGGTGTCCCGCCCCAGCTGGTAGGGGCAGTTGAAATTCCACGTCTGGGCCGGGGATTTGAACATCGCCTCCCTGCCGCGCACCACCATGAACCCCGAATCGCCGACATTGGCCGCGTATAAGATGCTCGCCCGGCCATCCAAGATCAGCACGCACGCTGTGGACGACCCCAGCGAGGTCGTCTTGGCGTACGCCGCCCTCAGAACCTCCCGCGGCGCCTCGGGGCCGGGCTCAAAATCCGCGGCGGCCTCCCTGGCATGCGCCATCAGCGCTCGGGCGTACACGCCCGCATCAATCCCGGACAGCGCCCACGCGCCCACCCCATCCGCCACACCGATCGCCATCCCATTCTCCGCGATGAAAAACGCGTCCTCCCCGCCGCGGTAGGCCTTGTCCGGATGCGGCATCATGCAGCAGCCGGACACCAGAGTCAGCCCCTTCCGCCCCTTGGCCTCCCCTTGTCCGGATTTCACGCCTTCGCTCACATCTCCCACCTCAGATGCGCTGCTGGAAAGGCAGCCAGGCTCTTCACCCCTCCCCCTGCCCTTCCCTTTGCCGCACATCGCCACGTTGAGCCCAACTCCGCCAACCCCCGCCAGCAACCGCCTCCACTCTCCCCCACCTTGTCCAAATCCCATTCCCCCTCCCCCTCCCCCATCACCGAAAATCAGCCCACCGCCGCCAAATGCCCCCAAGAAAACTTCCCTCCCGCCCATTTTCCACCGCGCTCTTCCGGGCTGCCGGCCCAGGGCGCCGCCCAGCAGCCCCCTGCGCCCCCCCGACTGCAGCCGCCCCCTGGCCGCGCCCAGCAGCATCCCACCAACACCCCCCTTTCCCCTTTTCGCTCCTCCCCTTCTCTGTTTTTTTTCTGTCTTGACAAGATCCGATCGACCAAACTCAAGCCAAACTCGCGATTTTCCTCCTGCTTTACTTTTCCTTTTCTTTTTGCCTGGATCCAATCCTTCTTCTCCTTTCCCTTTTTATCTGGATCCAATCCGGCCCAAGAGCCAGCCCCGCGGTTTGCCGCCCACCCGCAGCGACGGGCGCCTCCGGGCTGGTTTGCCCTAGTTAGACTCAGCTCCCCGCTAACACGATCCCAGAGCCAAAAATTTGCATCATTTTGCGACTGAGATGCGAAAGCTGCAACTGAGATGCGAAGAATCGGCAGAAAGCGGCGCAGGGCGCTCTGAAGCGGGCTCCTTCGAATGCACTGCGTTTCAAGGAGGGCCGACCTCCGCCTTGCCCAACAATTTTACCTCGGCTGTGGGATTGGGAAGGCCGTGGGAGAGGCGGGGGAGAGCGAGGGGCGTTTGCTGCCGGCTGGGGAAGCGGGCGCCCCTCGCGCGGTGGCCTGCACCCGGCGCGTCTGGCGGTAAATGGGCGTGTTGTCGAGGCTGGTGGTAGTTCGGCTGCTTTTAGGGTTTGTAGGTTTAGGTTAGTTCGTTTCGGCGCATATCCGAGAGAGGGATGGCTGGCGGGAAAATTGTTGCTGCTGACCATTTTGCCGACATCACCGCGTTCTTTCCTTTCTTTCTTTTGCTTGGCGTCTTGGCTTTGAGGGCTTAGGGTGTCGTGACCGATACCAAGGCAAGGGGTGTTCACTACTTGGACGTTGCTGCAAAAGAACGACTACAGGGCGGCCAGTTGTTCAGTCAGAGCCAGTTGTGTTGGCCTGTTGGTTTCGTCCGCTCCTGCGGCTCGCGCGCAGTCCCTTGGACAAGGCAAAAGCAACTACGGGGAGAGTCCGCGGGAGGCCTGAGAGGTCTGTTTGTTAGCGAGCGCGCATGCAGCAGACTTAGCACAGTACCTTGCCACACGACTTGAAATCGCGTACGCAAACGCAGCCCTCTTCAATCAGGGCAAGCTTGCCGTGCTCATCGAGGGCACCTTCAGTTGGAAGCCCCGCTGGCGACTTGCTTTAGAAAAAAAGTGGGCGCAACAACCTTCACCCAGCACTTTATCCTCTCTCCGATATCCGAACGCCTCTTGCATGCCCAGGCAGCGCAGCCAGCCGCCGCGGCTGCGACAGCCAACACGTGCATAATTCTGTTTTCTGTTACCTCGAGCAGATATGTACATGGCCCACCACGCAAGCTACCAATTTATTCGGAGTCGCTCAAATGCACAGAGCGCCTGTGGTCCCAACAAGCCCAAATTCCGCAGGCCGCCGCGGCCCCCCGCTCCCGCCCCCGCATGGAGAGGAAGAATGGCCTGACCAGATTCCAGTCACATTCTAACCCCATTCCGACCACGTCCTCACCACATTCCGAACACAATCCCCCGCCCCTCCCCCCAACGTCCCCCCCCAAAAGGGCACGCAAACGCCCTCTCGCCCGCCCAACGAGTCAGCCCCGGCCACCAAATATACAATCCCAAATCAAGCCCAAGAATTATCAGGTGGCCTCGGCACCACCAGCTCAACAGGGGCGGGCCCCTGGGGGCTAACTCACGTCGGGCGCTCCTAACACAAGCCGCCCCCACCCAGCCCAGGCCCACCTCAAATATCCGCCGCTCACCGGCGGCAGCCCCCCGCCCCCCGCCCCCCACCAGACCACCCTATCGCGCAAGTGGTGAAACTACGTTGGCCCCACGCCACCCGCGCATAGCACCGCGCGGGCCCCCAGTGTCAAAAACCCCGACCGGCAGCGCGGCGCACGGCCACCGCCATCGTTGTGTCCCCTCGTGGGGCGATCATTCATTGCAAGGTACACACAACCTGAACCAGCGCTCCCTGCTACGCTCCCCCCATCTCCCCGCCATCTCAACAGCTCGAACCCCCGACGCATGCAGCAACGCGTCGCAAACCAGGCATGCCGCACCCACGCAGCCCACGCGCGGCCCATGCCTCGATGTCGTTTCCCACAAGAGCCCACCTCCCCCCACCCAAATGCACTCGTTCCGTCCTCCTTGCCGCCACTTCCAGCATCCTTCCGCCCTCCTTCCGCCTTCTTTACACATCATTCCATCCTCTTTCTGCCCGAGCCCACCTCACCATTGCCTCGTTCTCCCCGACGGAGCCGCAATCCCCCACCAACCACTCGCATGCTTACTCATCCTTTTGCGAGCCAGCCTTGGCAATTGCCCCCACCCTCCCCAATGGTGCCCCCGTCCCCCGTGTGAAGCCCCGTGACTTGCCCACATTAAATACTAATGAATGTGCAAACCAAGAAATTTTCTGTTCACCAGGAAGCCCCAGGCAGGCCTCTTGCAACACCCGCCGCTCCCATGGAGGCCGCCCGACCGTGTGCAGCGGGCGGGCCAAGTCCCCCAGTTGCCCCCCTGTCGGCAGCCTGCTGCATGCCAGTCGATCCCCGAAGCACTAACAGCGCACAAGCCCCCAGCCCATCACCCACACTCTCGCAGCAGCAGCTCCTGCATCATGTTGTTGCGCCATTGGGGCTGAGGGCACAATTCGTTCCCAGGGGACCAATGTAAAACGAATAGGTGTCCGCCGCTGCGGACAGCGCCCCTGCTCGCTGTCCAGACACACAACCTGCCAAAGTCTCAGGAATCCAACAATGTCACCCATGTACCAGCATCCGCCCGGCAGGGGCGGCCGCGGCTGTTGCGGCCGACCCATCGCCCACGCACGCCCCGCGCGAGTCCAGACGTCAAATTTACCCTTCAAAGAATTGTGGCACTCAGCCCAACGCAGCTGGACTCGCCTTGTGTCTTCTCGTCACAATACACCATAATATCAATGCCAGTGCCGTGGATCCCCACTGCCACATATCATCTCCACATCGACCCAGTGCAGCGACACATCAAAAGGTCCTCCTGCCCGGCGCACCTCGTGAACGAATTCAGAGCAGCTCCTAATCCGCCTCCTTTAACTAGTACAAATAAGGTAGTCCCAGCTGTGCCCACCCTCCCCCACCTCCCGCCCGCCCCGTGCTGCAGTCCCCACAGCATAGAAACAGCCTTGCCAAGCCGATGCAAACCCGCCGACCGTCCGGCCCTCAGAACTGCCGCCCCCCATGGTGGCTGTCCAGCGACAGGCGCTTCCTCAGCTCTGGCCTGCCGTGGCCCCACAGCAGGCCCTGGCGCTCGGGCAGCGCCTGGACGTGCATGCATGCCGGCCTGGCTGGCGGGGTCTCTGCCTGCGATGGGGCCGTCGCCTGCACCCAGTGCTGCGGCACGTGCGTGTTGGCCCCCAGGCTCAGTTGGCCCTGCAGCGCCGATGTCAGCCCATCCATCGACAACCTGGACAGCAGGCCGGATGGGAACTGCTGCGGCAGCGACGGCGAGCCCCTCGAGCCGCTGCTGCCGCTGTTGGGGGTGCATGCCTCGCCGCCCTGCTGCTGCTGCTGCTGGGTCTTGATCAGCTCCTGGAGCATCGTGAGGAGGCGGATGGCCTGGCCGTTCTCGCGGGGAAGCGCGGGGGGCGCGGAGGGCGCGCCGTTCTGCTGGCCGAACCAGGCGGCCAGGTCCTTGAGGGCGTCGTCCATGGGCGTGGGCGCAATGCCGCCGCCCAGGGAGGGGTCGCCCATCTGGAAAGCCTGCTGGCTCTGGTCGAAGGGGTTCTCCTGCGCAGCAAAGAATGCACAAATGAATGCAACTTCCTCACAGCATTCTGAAGGGCAATGTGCTGGAACGACACTGGTAAATGATTCGTGCCTCCCCTTAGAATGGGCCTGTGCGGGCAAAAAGCTACGATCAGGAGGTGCTAAGCTGGAGGGACACATGCACGATGGACCCATTCGGTGCAAAATATTCCTTGGCAGTGGAACGCCTCGTATTGCAAACAATGGGACAATCCTTTGTCCATTCTGCAGCAAATGGGACAGCGTCAGCCAAGGCAGCAAGTAGCAGTGCACAACTTCCACAGAACCCTAGGATGAGTAACCATGCGAAACTTAGCATACACTTTTTTGAGTAATGCATCGCTGAAACACAGGTCACACGCAAAAGATGCAGCAACCTAAAACTGCCACGTCCTGACCAAATGCAATCAAGGAATTCACCACCTAGCAGCATCTATGGGAACAGAGATATCTGCCATTGGGAAGGCTCCCGGGCCCATGTGTCAGATCTGCTGCTGCTGAAATTGCAGACATGTAGGTCAACATGAGCAACTCCCAAAACCACGTGTCTATACCATAAACTTGGAGGCACATAGACCACTCCCGCACCCAGGTTGAGAAAACTAGCCCCGGTCGGAAGACAATTCTCCAGTCTGTGGACTAATGTAGAGGTGTGCTAACACAGCAAGGTAACAGGACACAATTTCTGTTGCTGACACCCCTTGTGCGCAGATCAACAACATGCACTCAGATGACCAGGACTATTTGCGCCTCCCAGGTTCCAAGCCCCTCCCAGCGTGATGGAGCTATTGCAAACCGGTAGCCAGTTGGGAACAACATTCTTCATGGGAGTGCAAGGGGTTGAGCGTACACTACCCTGCCAACAGCAACTCAGCAGAGTGTTTCTGTTCGTGGCGGTGATCTATGCCTCTTCTGCCTATGCATGCTTTCATCCCCCCCAAAATATGTTCAGCTGACACCCCCCCCCAAAAAAAAAGCTCATCGAGTCTGCTGGCAGCTGCTGCCAAAATGGCTTGTCCTGCCAGCGTGCCACCACTGCACAGCGGGCTTGACTATCCAGCCGCTGAAACAGGGCAACCTGCGGTCGGCTCTTGCTTGCAAAGGGCCCTGTTGTGCTTCACGATTCGTGGGGGAGCTCCTCTGTTCATATCATAGTGTAACACATTTGAAATTAAAAAAAAAGGGCACCCCCCGGCTAATCGACCAACCCACGCTCGCCCACCCCACGCTCGCCAACTCCACTGAAGCACAACGGCTTCCACTCCCCGTTTCCTCTCATCACAAAAGCAGACAGCCAAAAAAACACTAATACTTCAAGTCGAGCGCCCACGCTCCTTGATATCCAGGTCATGCAGAGTCTGAACACCATGGAGGCTGTCCCACATGCACCACACCCCAAGTGGAACAGAACAAATTCGTGAGGAACTGGAACAGAACAAAAATCACCAACAATTTCTTGCCAAACGCCCGTGCCCCAAGATCCCTCAGTCACGCCGGAGTTCCCTGGCCCCACTCCCCAACCCAACGCACCACAACAAAACCACCAAGAATTCTCGCCAAAGACCCCTGGCCCACACACCGAGTCGGAGTGGAGTTCCCACCTCCCGAAAACAGGAGGAAAACACAGGCAAAGAAAAGGAAACACAGGCAAAGAAAAGGAAACACAGGCAAAGAAAAGGAAACACAGGCAAAGACAAGGGAACACACGCAAAGAAAAGATAACGCACGAAAAGGAACAAGATCACCCAAAGTTCTCGCCAGACACCCATGCACGAAGATCGCTCGGTCACACCGAGTCGGAACGGAGTTCCCTTTCCCCCCACAAACAGGCAGAAACACAAGCAAAGGAAAGAAACAACACGAAAAGAGAAAACAGCACACAAAAAGGGAAGACTGCACACACGCAAAGGGGGAAGACAACTCGTGCAGAGTTTTCACCACTCACATAAGGCGAAGGCGGCTGCATTCCGCCGTGCATCCCCATCCTCAGGCTGGCCTGCTGCTGCGCGAGCGCCTCCTGCGCCTTGGCCGCAGCCTCCAGCGCGCCGGAGGCGCCCGTCGCGCGCACCACCTGCGGCCCACCGGCCCCGCCGCCCTTCTCATCGGCCGCCCTGCCCGCCGGCATCATCACGAACTCCTCCAGCGAGGGCTTGCGCAGCTCCTGCAGCATGTGGGCGAAGAAGCAGACTTTGCGGCGGCAGGTGGCGGGCTCGTTGCAAAGCTGGGTGCGGTACCTGGGGCGCGGAGGGCGGAAAGCAAACAGGAGATCGGCTGAAGCAAAGAGAGGCAGAGCAGCGGATCTCGAGTTCCACAATCTGATACAGTGGGTGTGGGCTTTGTGGCAAGGAGGAAGAGAAGATCAGCCCCTAAGGGGGGGGAAAGGGGGCAGCGGATATCGAATATTCAGAATCTGCTGAAGCGGGGGTGAGATTAGTTGCCAAGAGGTGGAGAAACGGGTCGCGCAAAGGCGCCCCGAGGAGCAAGAGGAGGGTGCAGAAAGGTGGAGCGGGGTGGGTGTGGGTGGGCAGCAGGGGAGCAGGGGTAATCCACAGGGAAGGAGAGAGGAAAGGTCGTTTCGGGCGTCGACACGGGAAGGGGGACCGAGCGCCGGTGATCGCGATGGAGGGCGAACAATGCAGGAAGGCTGCCAAACATACTCTCGCATGAATCGGCACGAGGAGAGCCGGATGCCGCGCCTCACCTGGTGGGGTGCAGCCAGTACTCGAACACGTTGTGCGCGAAGGGGCACGCCTCCCCCCGGGGGCACAACCTGCCCTGCAGCACCGGCCACGCGCGCACCAAGCCCCCCAGTCAGCAACACAATCCGCCCAACCGGCCACCATGACACCCCCGCGCCATCGCAGGGCCAGATCCTCACCGCGATTTCACCCACCCAGCCGCCCCACCCGGCTCAGCGATCCCCCATCGGCCGACGGGCCGAGGAGCGGACCGCGTGTGGCGCAGCCCGTCATGGCCCCCGTCCCGTCAGGCGCGCCGATCTCGAAACCGAAAGGCCGCAAATTCCTCTCAACGCTACCCCCCTCACCACCACCCACCCAAACACACGCAGCGCTCCCGCGGCTTTGAGACCCGCGCAGCGACCCCGCGGTTCATCGCAACCCGCCACCAGCCGCATCGAGAATCACGGGGTGGGTTTTGCGACCTCAGGTCGCCGCGGAGCGGGGCGCTCTTGGAGGAGGCAGAAGGGGCACGCACCGACTTGCTGTCCGGGCACTCGATGCCGACGTAGCGCACGGTGCGCGGGTCCCGCCGGCGCGCCTTCTCGCCCTCGTGCGCGAACGGGCACACCTTCCAGTTGTGGTTGTAAGACTTCGTGCAAGGCAGCACCTGCACGCACACACCCTCAGATCCCACCCCACAGCCCCTCCCCGCGCTGCCCCGCGGGCCAGGTGACCGCAGGCGACCCGGGGCACGGCCGGCATGGCGCCCGCGGCACGCGGGAGATCCGGCCCGCCCCCCACCTTGTAGCAGTACATTCGGAACACGTCTGAGGTGTAGAGCGCGTCCGCCTGGTCCCCTCCGTCCTTGCTCCGCCTCGCCGGCTTGCCGCCCGCCTTACGCGCCTCGCCCGCCATCCCCGCCTCTTCCCCGGGCCTCTCAACCGCACCCCTCGCCACGATGCAAACTGCCCCAAATTCTTTTCTGTCGACTCGTTCCTCAGGCCAGCAAGATCATTTGGTGCCGCCGCACCGGCAGCCCACCCCTCGATTCCGCCCGCGCCTTGCCCCTCAGACGGAGAACGGGAAAGGACAAAGTGCCGTGCCACGGACAGAGGGCGAGAGCTGGAAAGACTGGCAGCCGGGCTATATGTGCGCCGAGCGCAGGCGGAACTGGCTCCTACCACAGAAAGTGTGGGCTGCGTGGCGCCGCGCTTTGTGCAGCGCCCCGGTTCACGTAACGGCCTGCGTCGCGCCCCCACGCGGCCCGCCAGAGGCCCGCGAAGTGCTGCCGAAGTTGGGCGTCGACCTCGCCGGTCAGCGGGACAACTACAACCCTAACTACAGCCCAACTACTGGTTAAGTACAGAAGGGCCGCTGGTTGTACCGCACGCGCCCCGGGGCCGTACCTGCCGGTCACGTGATTCGAGCGTCTGACTGGGAAATTGACGGCGCTGCTGCGGCCGTGCTGTGGGTTGGTGGGTACGGAGCAGTGGGCGCAGTGGCGTGGTGTGAGGGGCCTGCGTTGGCGCCGGGGGGGGTTGGCGGCTGTACCAAGGTCTGTACGGTGGGCCACGCAAGCATTGGCTAAGGTTGTGCTTTCTTTCGATCTGCAGTTGGTGCTTGGGGCGAAGAATGATAGATGCCCCGGCTTGATCCCCACTCGGGGTTGGCCGGCATGGAGGCCGGGTGGCCTGTGGGTGGCGCCTTTGGCTTGGCAGGCGGGGTGGAAATG